CTCCTGGTCTGGTCCCATAGAGTAAACATAATTCAATTAACCCGGCGCTCGTTGTCGGTCGCTTTTTGGGGGCATTGTTGTGTGAAGGAGCAGGCACCGACGACGCTAAAATAACTGAAAACGACAAGCCGATGATGGCACATTGCCAAAGGCACTGAAAGAGCAGGTACACGGTGGAAAATACTCAAAAGTCAGAGAATCTCCGAGAGAGATATGCGTATGCAATACCAGAAATTTAACATGCGCATATCGATTTGACCGTGACGTGTTTTTTTTTTTGTGTATTGGTTAATTTCTCATTAAATCCAATTGAACTAAAATTTAGATTTTTTTCCAGTGCATATGCTGCAGTTACTAGATGCATGCAACAAGCCACAAGAGCAGCGCGGCTCCAACAAAGCATTTGCATTATTAAAATTTTCATTTGGCGGCCTCTCCTGAAAATAAAGAACCTGCTAATTGACCTTTTGTGGGGGAAAATCCTAATCTTTAGCCTCTCTAAGTGCAGAAAGTACAAATTAAATTTGGAACGGTTGGAGTTTACCCAAAGTAATTTCAGCTACAGTTCATAAAGTACCTCCATCAAGTTCTATCCTCAATCACTCTCCTTTGCTGTTCTGCCAAAGCAACGGCGATAATAACTATTGTATGCTTAATGAGCTAAATGCTGAAAAACTTTGACTTAACCGAGCACAACAGGCGTCAACGTTGCGTTCGCTCATTCATCATCTGCAAGGAATTTACGCAAAGCAGCAGCTGAAGTGTAAATGTCATTGTCAGCCTGGTTGGGTTGGGCGAAATCGAAGGGGAAGTTCATTCCGTGACCTTTGACCGTACCCTATGCTACAGGGGTATACCGAAAAACGGGGTTAGAAGTTTTTAAAATATTATGATTAAATATATTAGTTAGTTATTGTGGTATTTAAAGGACCTTCCATAAATTATGACTAGAATATTATTAATTTCCAGTTTTTAAATGTTATATCACCTATATAATCTTTTTTTCCTGGTCAACAGTGTGTTTTATTTACCATTAATATTCTATAAAAAAAACCAATGTAAATTTCAGCCTTACCATATTACTGGCTTTCTTACATCTTAAAAAATAGAAAAAGTTACTAAACATAAATCGCTTTAAAATGTGTTAGTACCTACATATTATTTATCATTAATATTCCAAAAAAAAAAACCAATGTAAATTCCAGACTTATCCATATTATTGCCCTTTCATCTTCAGATGCCGACAGGATATGCATGTCTCTATCCGGATTCCTGGCATCATCGTTACTTGTGTTTCTTATTGCTTCTTTTATTGTGCGACACAGTGGTTGGGTGGAGTCGTCCTCAGAAAAGAAGGACAGCCAAAGGATGCGTGGCTGTGGCACCGAGATGGAGACGCACGACTGCCGTTGACACGTTGGGGGAAGGCGGAAAAGCGAAAAACCCGGCAAAAACTAGGGGTTTTCCGAAGGGGTTAAAAAGGCGGGAAGACGCCAGCCCAGGCTGCGGGATCTGTGGAGTGTGACTTTGATTTTTGGTTCGGGTTGCGGGGCACTTTTCGACTGGGATTTACCTTGGAGTAATGACTTCATTTTCCGCCGCATACATTTCCAGCAATGTCACGCCTGGCCGCGGCTGCTTTGTTTTCATTTTCCAGCCTCTGTTTTATTTCTTCACCTCCAAAAGTTGAAGCCACAAAGGGAGGAATCCATTGAAAGTTTGCCTAAAAATAACTTGTGAAAATTCCTTTAAATTTAATACACTTTTTTCCTGCTTGCGGCACGCCCCGAACAGTATTTTATTTCTAAGGGCAATTTGCCGAGTGGGTAGTTTGTGGGCTGGCCGGGCCAATATTTTATATAATGTTTCAATTTGCCATCGCATAGACGCAGATACGATTGTGAGGGCGGTTGGGTGCGTATGATTGATATCAATTTTGCTTTGATGAACGCTCCAAGGAATTGCTACCGAGTTTATTTATTATACTTTTGGGTCGCCTATTCCTCCCTATTCCCATCCTTCGTTTGGAAATCACATTTTTATACAATTTCCCCGCCGCAAATTCGAAAAGCAGAGTTTACTTGAGCCCCTGTCTTTGCGGTTTTGCGGTCCAAAGGAGAGGGACTAGCTGCCCCAAAAACTTTGCCTCTGTATACTGGCACTATATGTACATATATATGGTATCTTTACATCGGCACGCTGGCTGGCATCACACATAAATATACCTAAATCAGTCTGCCTTTTGCCAAAGCATTTGCATATCAAACTGTGGTAAATCAGAAGAAAAAACTGAATAAAATACATACCAAAGAAGGAAAAATGGTGAAAACATTGACACGATTTGGTCAGAACGACAGCCGAAAATTGATTATTCCATTTATTTTCCGACACGAATTTCTTGTGCTGCAGGAATTACTCATCAATTTCATCGTCTTGGGTGCATGTGTGAAAAATGGACCTCGAATATTGTGAACTCTTATGTATGTTGTATTGACTAGTTGATAGGGCGAATAAATAATGCATTGTGTCTGGGGAGGAAAGCCAGCCCCAATCCCTCAAGGTCTGTAGATTTAGATTTATATCATTGTTGATATGTTTATTTTAATACAAGTTCAAAAGTTGTGCTTTAAATTCAAGTTTAAGAACTCTTTTCAAGCGAATATATGTAATCAAAAAATTAATTACAATTACAAAATTTGGGTTGAAGAGGCAACTACTTCTAAAAGTATAAAAAAACAGAAAATATTAAGATTTTTTTTTAAGATTAGTGCTCTTACCATTTTTGAAACAGTCTGCTGATCGTAGGCCTTATTGTTAAAACACTTATTTATTTCAAAGTTATTTTGTACTATATTCTTGTTCATTTATTACAGAAAAATATATTACTTTATAAATGGTAAATTAGGTAGAAAATACAAATGGTTCTGAAAATATAAAATATATTGAGGATTCAGGTATTAAATTAAATTAACGTCTTCATTAACTTAACTAAGAATATTTTTTGAATTGAGAAAAAATAACATAAATTTGCTATACTAACTCTTAAGCGAATAGGCTGCAGATTTCAAGTGAAGATTTTTTGTAACGATTCTCCAACAATCGAAATGAAAACTAAGTAAATTAATTAGTTATGATTGTAAAGGTGTTTATAGAAATCGCAAGGGTAGTATGGGAAACGGAAATTGAGGGTAAGGAGCGGTCCACCAGGCTTGATTAAAAGCCTGGAGTTGAGGAGCGGCCTGAGGTTGATTTACAGCCTGGACTTGAGGAATAGCTTGGGCTCGTGGAACGGCCTGAGGTTGATTTACAGCCTGGACTTGAGGAGCGGCCTGTGCTCGAAAAGCAGCCTGAGCTTGATCAACAGCTTGATGAGCAGCCTGAGCTTGAAGCGGCTGTTGTGGAACGGGAGCAGCCTGTGCCGATGGTGGAGCTCGCAGGACGTGGCATCCGAAGATGTAGAGGATATCGTAATCCTGCGCCGGCTGCTTGCAAAGTGGACAATCGGACATGCGCCTCAAGTGCTGGCGGATGCAACTGTCGCCGAAGAGATGTCCGCAATTCAGAATCACCATGCGATGGGCGCCCTCTGCCTCCCAGGGCGACAGGCAAACCGAACAGTTGTTCTCCTCGTGGATCTTCTCCAGCTGTTCCTCCACCTCGTGCATCTTGTCGTGGAATTCTTCCCGCTGGTGGGTAAGCTCTCCGATCTTGGATTGCAGATGCGCCTCTTGGGCTGCGTTCTCCTGACGGATGCTCGCCACAATGGCCTCCTTGGACTGGTCCTGCTCCAGGACTTGTTGGCGCAGAGCCTCGCTCTTGGCCATCTCCTGTTGGAGCTGCTGCAGCAGAGCGTTCCTCTCTGTGGTCAGCTCCTGGTTCTGGCACATGGTCAACTGGAGCACCCGCTCCTGATCCTGCGAAGCGCGCTTGGTGTCCGTCAGCAGCTTGTTGCACTGCAGCAAGGTGGCCTTCAGTTCGTCCTTGCGCTTCACCATCGACTGCATCCTCATCTGCTCCCGGCGAAGTTCGTCGATCAAGTCCGCTCGCTTCATCCTGCTGATTCCCCTTCGTGGAGGGGGCACCGCGGGTTCTTCCCCAAACAGGAAGGAGTCCGGTGCCACATTGACGGTGTGCTCCATCTTCACGGGGATTGGCTTCTGTTCTTCCATTGCTTTGTTTCTAAATTATTTTAACCAGCAAGCTAAAAAGTTTAGTCAGAGCAGTGTTGCCACAGCGAGAAAATGGAAGAAGTAGAGATGTGATATTTTCGATTGACGAATATATCGATTCTAATTTAACAAACTGGTATTCCCTAAGGGGCTATCCATATATTACGTAATCAGAATTTCGAAGATTTTTTATTTTTTTATGAAGAATTGATTACTTTTATGCACTAGAGTAATCATTTGGTTAACCTCCTCCCCCCTTGGTCATTACGTATTATATGGACAGCCCCAAAACTGTTAAATTGTTGAAAATTCATCCGTGATTTTTAACAAAAAAAAGTAAAAACTCACCTTTGTTCAATGATTTAAACAAAATTTTCAACAGTAAAATTTCTGTACATTTAGTTAGGATAGTAGAATTAATTGTATTCCAATGTGTTCTAAATACAATTGAATTCGAAGATCTAGTGTAATATTTTGTACTATATTCTTGTTCATTTATTGCAGAGTATTAGATGGGTTTACAAATGGTAAATTAGGTGGAAAATACAAATAGTTCTGACAACATAAAATATTTAAGGATTGAGGTTGTTAATAAAACAGTAAATCAAATTAACTGTTTCATTATCTTAATTAAGAATATTTTCTGAATTGCGGAAAATGAACATGAATTCGGTATACTAACTCTTAATAAAATTATGTTTCGAAAATAGTCAGCGGATTTCAAGAAGTGAATACAATGTGATTTTTTTAAACGATTCTCCAAAAATTAAACTAAAAAAAACCATTTAAAAGTGAAAAACGAAATAAAATAATTAATGATTATAAAGGTGATTATAGTACTCGCGCCATACCATTTCGAGAGTTTTGGATGTTACGTTGGTTGTGATGGACAGCTTGTGGGTGAGGAGGGGCTTGGGGAGCAGCCTGAGCTTGATTTACTGCTCGCACTTGAGGAACAGCCTGAGCTCGATTTACAGCCTGGACTGGAGGAGCAGCCTGGACTCGAGGAGCAGCCTGAGCTTGATTTACAGCTTGAACTCGAGGAGCAGCCTGGGCTTGGTTAACAGCCTGGACTTGAGGAACAGCCTGAACTTGACGCGGCATGGGAGCAGCCTGTGCCGATGGAGGAGTTCGCAGAACGTGGCATCCGAAAATGTACCGGATATCGCGATCCCGCACCTGCTGCTTGCAAAATGGGCATTCTTTTACACGGCTCAAATGCAGGCGGATGCAACTGTCGCCGAAGAGATGGCCGCACTTCAGGGACACCATGCGATGGGCGCCCTCTGCCTCCCAGGGCGACAGGCAGACCGAACAGTTGTTCTCCTCGTGGATCTTCTCCAGCTGTTCCTCCACCTCGTGCATCTTGTCGTGGAACAAGTCCCGCTGGTCGGCAAGCTCCCCGATCGCCGATCTCAGGTGCGTCTCCTGGGCTGCGTTCTCCTGCAGGATGCTCTCCACGATGGCATCCTTGGACTGGTCCTGCTCCAGCACTTGTTGGCGCAGAGCCTCGCTCCTGGCCATCTCCTGTTGGAGCTGCTGCAGCAGAGCGTCTCTCTCGGCGGCCAAAGCGTCCCGTTCCCTGGTTAACTCCTGGTTTTGGAATATGGTCAACTGGTGCTCCCGCTCCTGATCCTGCAATGCGCGCCTGGTGTCCGTCAGCAGCTTGTTGCACTGCAGCAAGGTGGCCTTCAGCTCGTCCTTGCGCTTCACCATCGACTGCGTCCTCATCTGCTCCCGGCAAAGTTCTGCGATCAAATCCGCACGTTTCATCCTGTCGATTCCACTTCGTGGCGGGGTCACAGCGGGTTCTTCGTGAAGGAAGGAGTCCGGAACCACAAAGATGGCGTGCTCCATCTTCACGGGGATCGGTTTTTGGTCTTCCATCGCTTTTTTCTTGTCAATTTAGTATAACTTTTAATAAAAACTATTAATTAAAAAGTTTAGTCGGAACAGTGTTGCCACAGCGAGAAACGAAAAAGAAAAAGTAGAGATGTGAGCTATACGATATACGAAAATATCGAGTCCAGTGGAAACGATGCTTTACAAAGGCAGTGCAAACACTTTCCTTTCTTGCCAGTGCTACCACACTTATCATAAAAGTAGTAAATTATTTAGACAGATTTATTTTGTGCTGTACATTTTCCAAATTTTCTGTGAAATTTATTTATGAAAAAATGAGTACCACGAATATTCTATTTAAGCGCAGTTTGGCTGGCCAGCAAATGAGGCATAAGAAGCTTTACAATAACCTGACTCATATTTTGGGAAGGTAAGAATGAATAATAAAGTTATTTTCTTATTACCCAAATCCTTATTTGTGAACCAGATGCGAGGACCTTCCCCAGAGGACGCAAAGCGATGACTCCCTGACCCGCATACATTTCAAGTGCAATACATTTTTGGGTAAGCAAATGGGTAACTTTATTGAATCGGTGCACTGGCTTTTTTCGGCTGTGCCGGGACTTAGTTTATAGGATAGGCATGATGTTCAATGTGTAAGGAATTAAGTATTAAGCTTGGTGGTTCCAAATTAGTTGCTAGAAATATGCAGGAAATTATAAAATCCCCTTAAGATTCCTGAAAGAATCTTAGGGAAATTTTATGTAAGACTTTTTTGGAACTCAGGAAACCTCTATCTAAGTAATCCTTGGGCACATCCTACTTGGACTTGCGCTGCATGCGGGACCGTAACATCTTGTTCTCATCCGCACATTTCGTGGTGATGGCTGTGCGCACCTCCCGCGGAGTCATGTCCAGGCTGTTGGTCATCAGGTAGACCAGATCGGCCACCTTGAGCGGATCCAGCTGCTGTTTGCTGGGACGGGCGCAGTCCCTAAAGGCCGGCGATGGCTTCCCGGAGAGCGTGTGATGGGCCAAGGTGTCCCGGTCGAAGATCTCGCAGAGCAGCTTCCTGGTGATCGAGGGTCCGGTCATGTCCCAGTTGATGGCGCTCAGGCTGACGCGGGAGACCTCGGTGCCATTGGGACCGATCATCACCATCGGCGACTGGCTGTCCTGGTCGAATTCGAACCCGGGACACGGCCGCTTGGCATTCGGCGTGGAGGTCACCGGCTTCTTGAGGCGCTTCCTCTTGCTCGCCACCGGCTCCTCGCCTCCTCCGCCGGGCACATAATCCTCGTCGTCATCATCCAAGCCCAGATCCTCGTCGTTGGTCCTGGGAGTCGAGGTGTTGTGCTCATCGGCTCCATCGCGAAACACATCGAAGGGCTCCGAGGAACTGGGCTCCTGATCCGGCTCCTCCTGTTCCTGCTCCTCCTGCTCCTGCTCCCGGTCCATTTGCTGCACCTTCTCGATCTCGATGGTCAGGAGATCCAGGGCCTTGCGCTTGCTGCGCTCCCACTGCTGGAGGAGCTTCAGGCGCGCCTCATTTACCGCCTGGATGGTGCTCCTCATCAGCTGCGCATTCTCCACATCCTGCACAATGTCCTCGAAATCCGGAGCATCCTGCGGCGATCGCTGGGATCTCAGCAGTTTCTCCGCAGCCAGGGTGAGGGTTTCCAGGGTGCTCAGCTTGCCATTGTCCGACATTTCGATGTGGCGCATGGCGCAGTCGGCAAACTCGTTGGCCTCCTGGATGCGTCGCATCCTGCCATCCTCGCTCTCCTCCTCCTCCGCGAAGGAGTCGTCTGTCCGCAGGCGGGCGATGATCTGCTCCACCTTCTTCTGCGTCTCCGACAGCTGAACCGTCGCAGGATCGTAGGGCAAGAGGGTCAGGGCAAATTCCAAACGCTGGCGACGGTTAATCTGCAGGGGAAAATATTTAAAAAAATATTTTTAGCGTTTAAATTGCAAATTAGTTTAGTTATACTTATAAAGGTTTTTTTTTTAAAAATATTTTTATCAGATTTAAAATTTTAGTAATAAAGAGAACTAGTTATATATCGTAGAAAATTAAGAAATGTTATGAACCAATTAAAAAGGCATTGCAAATAGTAACTTTTAGAGGTTATTTATGTTTCTCCGATCTATATTTTGAATTCTTATCTTTAATATCGTAGGAAATAGAGAAATTTTTAAAATCAATTGAAAAATTAATTGCATATTGTATATTTTAAAGGTTATTTATGCTTTTCCTAGTTATATATCGATTTCTTCTCTTTGATATCGTAGGAAATTAAGAAATGTTAGAAAACAATTGAAAATTCATTGCAAAGTGTAACTTTTAAAGGTTATTTATGTTTCTCCTAGCTATATTTCAAATTCTTCTTTTTGATATCGTAGAAAATTAAGAAATGTTATGAACCAATTGATATTTTAAAGGTTATTTATATACATATCTTCTAGTTATATTTCCAATTCTTTTCTTTAATATTTTAGGTAATTCAAATGAGCCAATTGAAAAATTAATTGCGTATATTAAATTTCAAAGGATATTGTTGTTTCTCCTAGCTATTTTTCGAATTCTTCTCTCTGACTCACCATTGTTCTGCTTGATGTCCAATTGTAAACTGAATTCGTACTAATAAGTTACGGTCTTATATACCACGACCAAAAAGCTAGCAGGTAGTTTTAAAGGAATTCTACACCTATAATCCTTTTATTACCCTTATATCCCACAGATGCTTCGTCCGCCGATCCGGTGACCAACTGGGCGGATTTTAGCCGCCTACCTGCGGGAGCAGCTTGCAGCTGTCGTTCCATTTCGGGTCGCTCGGTGCCCGCGGGCTGCCAGCATCGTCCTTTGACCATCATCTCGGAATCAACTCAAACCGCCTCCACCCAGGAAATGTCCACCCAAACAGGAATCCAAGTGGATGCCAATGAGGAGATACTGGATTGCAAGTTCAGTGAAGATAAATCCACCCAATCTGCGCTAAATATGCAAGATGCCGAGACTCAATCGATGTTAGATTCGCCAAAAAATATCAACAATAGTCAAACTCAAACGGAAATGATTGTGCTAGAAAAATCTGAAAAAGCTGTTCTTAAATCGGAAACACTTGAGAACGATAAGTCCGATTATGATGATGTAAAACCCCCAAAATCGAATTCTTCATTGCGAAAATGTTTCTTTAGGCGCCCTGTAATCGTGGTAAATGGGGGAACATTTATACCCTCCGATTTCGCAAATAAAGTGCATCAAGATAGAGCGAAGCACCCACACTCTCCATTTTTAGTTACTTTGCAAAAAGAGGATAAGGAGACACAATATGAAGGACCTTTCGCATCAGAAGAAAATCATTTGAATCACAGAACTAATGGACCTTCAACCTGCATAAAAATTCTTGATAGAGTAGAGGAACTAGAAACAATGCTAAGGAGACAAGAGCGATCTCTGAAAGATCTGCAAGGCTCTGTGAGATCATGGAATGAAAAAGAATGTAAACCCTCTGATTGCAGAATCATATTTCAAGCTCAACCGAAGAATTGCCAATTGCCAGGAAAACCAGCTACCTTTGATCAGGCGACTCAGAAGAAAGATGAAGACGATTGCCAGTGCAGGAGTTTGTCCAAAGAATTTATTCAGATTTTTATAAAGCCGGAATCAGCAAATCAAACCAAAAAATCTAATAATAATGGATGTGGAGCTAGTTCCCCAAATAATGCAAATTCTGGGAAGAGTATTACAATGCCCAGTGTCTCAAAGAGTTGTAAGGATGATAAAGAGGAAAATTCTAGGAAAAATAACAAGAAGCCAATAGATACACAGTGCTTAGAAGATGCGGATAATTTTCTGGAGCAATTCAATCGTGTTTTTGCCAAATCCAAAAGTGAAGAAACCATTTGTGGTGAAACAAAGAAGATCCAAAGACCCATTTCTCCTTGTTGTTCGAAAGAAAATGTAAAGGAAAACACCTTAAATACAAGAAAGGTTTCTTCCACATCTTGTTTGGATACTAAGAAAACCTTAAAACATTCGGTATCAAACCAAACCGAGGAAAAGGAAGTCTACAAGTCCTTGATCGAGCAATTCGTAAATCTTTTCGCCAAATCCAAGACGTGTGAGAATAAACAAGCACAGAAAGCGGAACCAGAGAGCTACTCCTTTGATGGAATAATGGCGGAATTATTAAAATTATTTACGAAACCCAAGGGCGTGGAGCCAGGTGCTCTCAAGGATGAGGAGAGGCCCAAAAAGGTCACCATATCGGAAAAGGAAACGGTTTTGGGGGCCGAACAGAAGCCAAACTGCAGTTGCTCGAAAGCCCAACGCAGTGTTAAATCCATCTCAACGCAATCTGATCTTAAAATGTCGGATATGGATATGGATGCTAGAAATCGGGTTAGAAGACCCTGTGAATTGGATAGGAATTCCACGATAAGTGGGCTTTTTGCCTCGAATGTATCCATAAAGGAATCCCAGCGCAGGGATCCCTTACCATGTAGATGTCAATTTTGTGGCGATGGCAGTCAGCCTGTTCTAGATTCTTTGCTCAGCGAACTATTCCAATTGATTGGTCCCAGATCTTTTACCGATGTGGTTCTGACCATCCTGCGGCATCAGGAAAATGTCTATCATATCAACGTTCGTGAAATGGCGACCGGAAATGTACTGGGCTGCATTCTGGGCAACGGAACGGCGATCAATGAAGCCATCGCCCTGGGCCTCTTCGAGGATATCCACACATTCTGTGAGCTGGACAGGCGCAGGGAGCACGATCCCAGGGACTGTCCACTGGGCCTGGACGCCCTTTGTCCACGAGAGCGTGGCGGTGAGATGCTGCCGGATGAAAGTGTCGACAAGGAGAGGGCCATCGAGTTTTCCATCCGAGTACTGGGTGTTCCCGCTGGGCAAGCCGGTCGCTTCTTCTCCCTGACCAACGCCCTTAAATTAGCCAGGAAATCAAACTATCACAGCTTTGGTCGTGGTCGTCCTGGGAGAAGAGGACGCATTGGCCGAGGAGCAGTCACCGGACAATTGGTTTACTTGGGCAGTGATGATCATTTGCCGGTTAAGGATTGGAGCGAACCGAGCAGGACATCTAGCTTATTCCTTCGTATAGTTTCTGGTCAGGATAATGACGCTCAAGAAGATGAATCTAAGGTTGTTGAGTACCATTCAACTCGCCATAGCTTGTGAGAAATTATATAGATATTAAACAAGCTGACAATCTTATTTTCCAAATCCATTTTAAACCAACATTCTAATTCAGTATTTTTTGTATAACTTTCCAAAGAAATATATATTTTTTCATAAATAATGTGTACTTATTTTACTATTTCTTAGGATCCCATAAGATTTATAATGTTAGAATTAAGAAATCTTTTTAATTATGGTGTGATAACATTTAATTTATTTTGATTTAAGAATCTTTTTATTTTCAACTAGTTTTTACATTTACAGCTAGAAATCATTTAAAACTATAGAATTGTTAAGTTTTTAAACAGTTATATTGCATATATTGTTATTATATTTTTCCAAAAATATTGTCTACCTATTTTACTATTTTATAGGAACCCATAAAATTTATAATGTTAGATTTAAGAAATCTATTTAATTATGGTGTGATAACATTTGAAAAATATTTTATTTTGATTTAAGTAGCTTTTTATTTTCAATGAATTTTTTATATTTGCCGCTAGAAATCATGTAAAACTGTAGAATTGGTAAGATTTAGAACAGTGCATGTGCTAATACCATTTATTACCACTTAGCAGCTGCGAATTGGGAGAATCCGTGCAATCAGCAACCTTCGCAGGTAATACACAATTAGAATAATCCAGGCCTTAATCCCTTTTTCCCGGCAGATGTTGGGCGTCGTAAAAGCCCACCTAGAGATATAGTATGCAATATACCTGCACTGCAAGTTAACTAGACCCTTTGAGACCTATAAAATATCTGGCAGCGAAGAAGGAGTCATCAGTTCGCCAAGAGACTTGCACCAAGCAAGACACAAAAGTGGTTAAAACAACTAGAAAATTAAATACTATTTTCAAAAATATAAATACATATTTAAAACAACCATCACCATGAGCAACATTAGCAACGACAGTGGATTGGATGACTCGGCCAACAACGCACATGCTCCTTTGGCGGCCACTCGGTTGTCTTGGTTCCTGGCCGAAGTGGATGATGGGTCGATGAAGGATGGCAAGCCAAACGGGCAGCCCCGTCTCTGCGTGCTCCACTCCATGGAGCTGCTGGAATCGGATGTGTCGGAGAAGTACATGACCCGCTTCGTGGAATTCCGCGTCAACGGAATGGTGCTGGAGGCCAAGCTAATCCTGGCCGCCGACGAGAGGCGCCTGGTGGATGCCGCCCTGCTCTCCATGAGCAAGGAGGAGCGCGAGGACGCCAGTGCCCAGCAGCTGTTGGTCCAGTACACCGAGAACGACGAGAAAGCGGGCGAGCGATTGGTCCAGAAACTGGTCTCGCCGAACAATGTGATGTGGATCAGCACCAAACCGGAGCTGAAGGGTAATCCTCTCGTGAGCCTGGCCCCCGGATGCATTGCCCATGTCTTGTACGCCTACGAGAGTCGCGATTACATGGAGAAGATTCTGCTGCACCTGAAGGCGCGCTCCTTTGACCACGCCTTCGATGACCATCTGGAAACCGAGCCGGAGGCCATGACCGACGACACCTGGATGCTGGTGCAATACAGTCCGGAGCCGGAGACGGTGGTCTACCAGGTGGTGCAGTACCGGCAGACAGTGTGGCGCCGGGAGAATCTTTTCAAGGACGTGATTGCCTACATGCAACTGCCGGGCAGCGACATCGTCCTGCAGGCGGTGGTCATCAGCTATGGCAAGGACAAGGAGGCCCAGGAAGCCAAGTACGAGGAGCTGAGAAGGTTCTCCTTCGACATTGACTTTCCGCTGCCCGAGGAACTGGAGAAGCATCCGGTTCAGGGCACTTCCACCGCCGCCCTCTTCTCGCGCACCAGTTTGTACCAGAAGGCCGAGCAGCGGGACGCCACCGGGGAGCACAAGGAGCTGCGGAAGAGCCTGGAGCAGATGAGCGAGAAGGCTCAGAGTGAGGCCCAGATGATCATAGACGCCTTCGACATGGTGGACAACATCAACAAGAATCTGCAGAGTCGTCTGTCCGGGGAACTGCGATCGGCCGTGGAGGCGACTTCCGGCGACGAGCTCAATTGATCTGAAAAGCATTTTAAATTTAATTTATACGTTAAGTTACCAGTTAAGTTACTTTCAAAGTTTACATTATAGAAATAAACAAATTATATATATTTTATCCAATGGCAAATCTGAAATTAATATGGATTACCTTTAATAAATTTAAGAAGAGCTGCAAATACAAAAGGAAAATTATCACTTAATCATGTTTTTATTAGAAAAATGTTAGCTTTAACTTACCAGTTAAGTTACTTTCAAAGTTTACGTTATAGAAATAAACAACTTAAATATATTTTATCCAAGCTATTAACTATTTTTGTGCTGGAATAAAATGGTAAATCTGAAATTAATATGGATTACCATGAAAAATTGTTTTTATTAGAAAACTTTAAACTTTAACTTACCAGTTAAGTTACTTTCTAAGTTTACATTATAAAAATAAGCAAATTAAAAGTATATTTAATTCAAGCTATTAACTATTTTTGTGCTAAATAAAAATGGCAAATCTTATACATAGATTACCTTAAATAAATTTAAGAAGAGCTGCAAATACAAAATGAATTTATATTTGAAATCATTTATTTATTACTAGAAAACTTTAATGAACCAGATATTTTAGACAGATTAAAATTATTTATAGGATTTTTAAAACTACACATAAGTAAAAAAATATAAAAAAGAAAAGGATGCAACTATGCAGGATGTGGGTTGGGATTATTAGCATAATAATAAGGAAGTGGCATCATGCCTGTCGGAGGATCATGTTGTGTGACATAAAAGAGTGGACCCTGCGGAGGAATCATCATCTGATGGGGCTGAAACTGGTTATGCTGCAACATTCCAGGAGGTCCAAAGTGCGGCGGCGGAGCCTGCAGGTAAACCTGACGTGGAATGGCCATCGGTGGTGGCGTGGAGAAGTGATTAATTGGCGGAGGAGCCATAGCAGGCTTCTGGTCAGGCATGGACTCCTTTTGATGACCCTGAACAGGCGGAGCCGGCGGTGAAGCTTGATTTGCATACTCCTTTTTGGCTCCCGGAGCTGCTTCTTTAATGTTTTGGCGCTGATTCTTTTGCCGATTCGCCTGCAACTTTGGCATCTGCCTCTTTAGGCGCCTCGCGTGGAGTCGCCCATTTCGTTTGGCTCGCCATTTGGGCACAGAACTCCATGGCTTGAATTCATTCGGCGGCAGTGGATGCAGCTTTTTAAAGGGCACTTCTTTAAGTTCGCCCCGCCCCTCGATAAAAACCCGGCAAAAGGATTTATCCTTACTGATGGCCTGGATGTGGCAGGTGCCCAGTGGCCGGTTGACCTCGAACTCCACCTGGCACTTGGCGCCCACCTTGAAGTTATAATCCCCAGCATAGAGATTCAGGGATTTGGCCTCGCGTCGATCGACATTCAGGCTGGTGAGCTCCACATTGCGATATATATAGGGATCCAGGGACTTGGCTGCCATATAGCAAAAGGGCGGGCGATTCTGCTGGAGGAGCAGCCTCATGCAGGACATGCTCTGGCTCTCCTGGTCCAAGTTCAGCCGGCGATTGTGGAACGGGCAATCCTTGTAGTTGGCCAAAATGCAGAGGGTGCCATTGCTCCGATCGAGCAGGAAGCTCCGGCCATTCCTGCACAGCAAACGGATGACATTGCCGCGCCGATCGAACTCCAAATCGGTGCCACATTCGAAGGTCTGCGGATAGAGCATCCATTCCACGGCAAGATTGAGATCAGGCAGGCGGAAGAGCTGCCTGTAGAGCAGCTTAAACGAGACCGCCTGGCAGACGGCGGCCATCTGGAGCTCCGACATGGTCATCACGGAGTCAAAGTGCCCCTGGGGGTTCACAAAGATCCTCAGGGTCTCCGGATATCCCCGGTTGTAGACAACCAGGTGGCCCAGATCGAAGGGCTGGTGGATGATGACATTGCGCCGGTACAGGTGACACAGGGCGCGCAGCTCCAGCAGGGTGCCCTCCGTCCTGGTCCGCTCCAGCTGCCACAAATACTCGTCGTAGTCGCCGCTCACCAGCCGCCCGAAGCTCCTCCGTTTCCGGAACATGTAGCGGATGCACTCCATCCGCACCTCGTAGTGCAGCATCTGGGTGTCGTACACCTGCTCGGCGATCACCCGGAACAAGCTGCAGGCGTCCGCCGCCGTGTGCTTGCGGTACAGTAGGTGCTGCTCCAGGAACTGGTCCACCGGATCCGGGGCTCCTTTGGGGAATTACACTTAATATCGCTATCGATTCTATCGGTTTTATATTACTCACTTCTACTGCCCAGGGAAACGGATCTCTGCAGCATTTCGGACATCATTGTTAGGATTTAAAATGCAGAATAAACAGCCAATTAGGAAAAAAACACTTGCGGGAAAAGCACGCGGTCAGGAGAAAGAAAGAGACGGTCACATTGAATGCGATGGATAAATCACGCTTTCGTGATTTCGATAACATTCTAAAGTTGAAAGCATGATGATACGCAGCTCTGGCAACTCTGGTATTAATTATCGACGTAGCCAGATCGGTAAAAATTAAACCAATTTTTCATTTTTCAAAAAATAATACAAATTATAATTTGTTTGTTTTATTTTACTATTGCACGAGTATATTTGCATTTTTTCAATTCCATTTTCCATTTGTTATGAAATAATATACCAGAGAGTGAATAAAAGCATGCCTCGCATAAACATAGTAAGTGGAACCGAAATGAGAAACGGTTAGCCAAAGTGCTTGCAAGTTTGTCCCACCCTGTGCAAATAAATAAGTGCAACATTCTTTTTAAATATTGATTACCATTTGTACTAGCCTTATGACCGAAGAAATTTTAGAACTATGAAATTGAACTGAACCACATTTCGAGTCAATCCTAAAAACACTTGAAAACAATTTAATTTGTTGCAATTTTAAGTCATACAACTATAAGTTTTAGTCTAAAACAGCAGGAACGACGATGGACAAAAATTCTCAATAATAATAATTTGAAAGTAAACCTAGTAGCTTCTGACTTTATGGGGTATTTCATTTTTGTATCAGCACTGACGGAGGGATTATAAAAATCAATCTGGACAAAACCTGCAAAATGGACGATTTTTCATTTTCCCAATGGATACCCAATCCACAAGTTCCACCGGACATACTAAACAAATTTAAAGAAATAATGGTAATAGTCTAGAAGAGCGGCCTGAGCACCAAAAACCGCGAAAAAATTACCCTCGATGGACCGCGATTTCTTAGGAATTTACGTGCAGAAGATTATTTGCGGAAATGCAAGGTTCTCTTGTAATTGCATTTCAAAGTTGCGTGTTTTGCTATAAAAACAAAGTAGGATTTTGAGGTGTTTTGTGTCATTTTGCTATAAAAACAATGTAGCATTTTCTAGGAATTTATGGGTTTGCTATAAAAAACAAGTAGGCTTTTGTTGCTTAATCAGAAATGGCACTTTTGATTTTTGTTTACTATGGATTCCTGCAACGGGTGCACTATTTCTTATAAAGACTTTCTTGCCATGGACGAAGAAGAAGTGTTTGCATTTCTGCAGAGACATGGAGTTGTTCTAAAGAGCAAGAACTGTCCCAACTGCAGTAAGCCCGCAACATTGTCTTTCAATGCGAAGAGACCGATTAGTACGCCATTTTGGAGGTGCCGCAGGATGATAAGTAATCATCAACAGAAACGAAAACAAGAGAGAACGCTATAGTCGGGTGCCCCGACTATCAGATACCCGTTACTCAGCTAAAGGGAGTGCGAAAGAGATGGAGAAAAACTTTGATCCGCCGTAACTTTTTAACGAATGGTCCGATTTAAAAAATTTCTTCTACATTTCGATAGGTATTGATAAACACAATAAAACTGCATTTTTACTTTTCCAAAATATTGAAATTTTTAAAATCGTATATATGCGATTGTGGGCGTTAGAGGGGGCGTGGCACCCTTTTGAAACAAACTTGCGCTGCGTAGGAACTCCTAGAATCTGCATGCAAAATGTCAATCTTCTAGCTTTTATAGTTTCCGAGATCTCAGCGTTCATACGGACAGACGGACAGACAGACAGACAGACAGACAGACAGACAGACAGACAGACAGACAGACGGACAGACGGACATGGCTAGATCGACTCGGCTAGTGATCCTGATCAAGAATATATATACTTTATGGGGTCGGAAACGCTTCCTTCTACCTGTTACATACTTTTGCACGAATACAATATACCCTTTTACTCTACGAGTAACGGGTATAATTAAGAAAAGTTCAATGCTCCTTTAAGGTAACAATTGTTTAATTTAAAAAAAATATTGCTTTAAATTATATTTGTAAGGAATCCGCCATCAAACGGACATTCTTCAGCAAGTCCCACGTTGGCATTGAACAGGCCTGTAATTTTGTGGCTTGGGAGATGAAGGGTTCAACAATCTCATTCCTTCGGGAAGAACTAGGCTGGTCCCAACAGACGGTGGTTGATTGGAGTAATTTTCTTCGGGAAATTTATCTTAGCTGGACGAAGAAGAACGCAAAACAAATAATAGGTGGAGACGGTTTAACCGTCGAAATTGACGAAACCAAAATTGGCCGGCGCAAGTATAATTGCGGTCGCGTGGTGGATGGCCAGTGGGTTTTCGGAGGAATTTGCAGAGAAACCGGTGACTTTTTTTGGTGCCTGTGGAGGACCGTAGCCAGGAAACGCTCCTTCCAATTATAGAGGCCAACATCGCCAATGGAACCAGAATTATATCCGACTGCTGGAAGTCATACAATGGTTTAAAGGATGCGAACTACTCTCACATGACCGTTAATCACTCAGTAAACTTCGTCGACCCTGAAACGGGAGCCAATACACAGCGAATAAAGAGACTATGGCGTGATCTAAAGGAGAACATTCCCCACTATGGCCGGAAAACGGAGCACTACCAAGGGTACCTAGCGCGATTCACTTTTTTGAAAAGGCACCCAAACCACACCTCAAGATTCCATGCAATTTTCTCAGCAATGGGCGAATTGTTTAATCCTGAACGCGATGTTAATCGCGCGATTTTTTTTTTTTAATTTTTTTGCCTCCGGCGCTTTTTTAGCATTTTCCATCTCTTTTTAAATACTAACAATTAACTATCTTAAATTTCAGGAATCCACCGATACGGACAATGAAAAGGAATAGGCTTAATCTGTACCACTAACCAGCATTTTTTATAAATAAATATTTACTGTCCAATCATTAACCATAGTTTTATATAGCATTTTATTTACTATTACAAATAAGTTACAAGTATAAGGAGGTACTGATAAAGACTAAGGTTGATCCTCCTCGGATTGCGATTTCTTAAGACACATCTTAAAAATGTATATGTTGGTCATCCATGGTCGCCCAAGCTCTTAAGGAATCACGGTCCATCGAGGATATTAATTCGCGGTTGTGGGGTCTGGCCTGCTATAAAAACAATTTCACATTTTTGTCGAATTTTTTCGAACGCTTATTATTTTGACAACAAACGGAAAGCCCATATGTTTTTTATAGCAAAATGACACAAAACACCTCAAAATCCTAGAAAATCCTACTTTGTTTTTATAGCAAAACACGCAACTTTGAAATGCAATTACAAGAGAACCATGCATTTCCGCAAATAATCTTCTGCACGTAAATTCCTAAGAAATCGCGGTCCATCGAGGGTAATTTTTTCGCGGTTTTTGGTGCTCAGGCCGCTCTTCTAGACTATTACCCACGGACGATGAAGCATTTACGGACAATTTCTGCCTAGTTGTCGATCAGTTGGAAAAATATGTATCTCTGATGGAACCTATTAAAACTCGCTATGATGCTTTATATACCGAGTTTAAAAATAACCAATCAAGCCCTGAACTTAGGAAAATTTTGGCAGAATTCATCCTTAAAATGAGCGAAACTATAGAACAAAACAACCCTTTTAAATAACGTACACCCAGAAAAATTGAGAACGAAAAAAATCAACATCGACCGATCTTGATTTTAGTATTCGTATTCTCACTTTTTTCTTCTTGATATCAAGATGAAAGCAGTGCTGATTCTAGTATTCCCAGTCAAAGTCAATCTCAGTTTTTATGTTGTGGAAGAGGGACGTGAGGAAAAGACATCGAAAAAATGAGAGGAAAAGGGCGGAGAGGCCGAATTCCTCTCTTGTAGCTATCGGGCAGTCATGCTTCTTGATATCGGTAGCCTAGGGGACTAAAGCGTGCGGATTATATGTTTTGTAAGCGTATAGTCGGAAGTGTGTGTTCAGTCCCGCGTCGAGGCGGAAATTTTTTGCGTTTTTTTTTTTTTACTCATTAATATTTATATTTAATAAAAATTTGGATTTTGTTAATCTAACACTTATAAATGGCTTAATAAGAGTAAAAACCAAGAACCCAAGAGAACAAAATGTGATTGAACTTTGTACAGCGCCTCATGTGATGCTTCCATGGCGCAGCTAGTAGAGTGTTTGACTGCAAACTGTGAGGCAACGGGCTCGATTCCCACGACCGACCAAAGGTGTTTTTCCCAAGATAGTAAGTTATTTGAATTTTGTTAATTATATAATAATTTCAGTTATTGTTTCAGTTAAAATTTGAAACTAAATGTGTTCTTATATACGAACATAGTGTGACGTCATCCATGTGTTTAAATAAAGGAAAGAAAAATACATAAGTTGAGAAACGGGGGGAACCAACAACAACACCGACGAGGACAGGAGGGGGTGCAAGAGGCAAAAATTTCCGATTCCTCAATTATTTTTTTTCTTCTTCTTATTCAATTTGTATCTTAAAATCGACATCGATTCGATGTTGAAACCGAGAATTATTTTTTTTCTTCTTCTTATTCAATTTGTATCTTAAAATCGACATCGATTCGATGTTGAAACCGAGAAGACGTCATCTCGATATCGATAGCACACATACTTAAAAACCATTCTCAAAACCGAGATGACATCGATGTTGATTTTAGTATTTTCGATCTCGGCTAGGTTTTGTGATCGAAAATACTAAAATCAACATCGATGAGAACGGTTTTTTTTCTCGGTGTAGGTCCAAATGAAATGAAAAAACGTTTGTTTTATTAATTTAATTTAAATTTTCATTCTAGTTCCATCCTTGGATCATGGATTGATATAATATCAACAAGAAAGGATTTCTTAAATAATCAAGTTCAGAATATAACCAGCTCTTCATTTTGTAAAATATAATAACTATTAATTATAATAACTATTTTGAACTTGATGTGGTTTCTTCTTAATTAATGGGCAAACAACTGTGTGGCACATAAATAAAACTTAAATGCATCCGCATCTAAGACGCACGCTGATTTATTAAACTCTAGAATGGACAATTGGGAACAGCAAAAATGATTATTTGACATAAATGCGGCAATAAATAACTAAGCCAGGAAAAAGCATTTTAACATTTGCTTGAAAACATGTATGTAAAATACTCCAGTGGTGTTCAATAAATTAAAACCTATTTAACATTTTAGCAGGTGGGTAATCAATTGAGGGGCAGAAATAATCGAGTGAATTATGCCGGCATAATTCGATTTCTGCACGTGTCGCAATCAATATCCACCAAACGATGCTGAACAATTAACTAAGCGCTCTTCCATTATTTGGCAATCATGGATCATTCATGGAATTAATTCCGCCAACCGAGCCACTTCATCATCATCACAAGGGGGGCAAGGGAAATAGTAGGACCAACTCGATAATGAAGTGGCCCGAAAATAGACTTGTGGAAGATTTAAGCGTTTCTTCCGCTGCCCATCGGGATATTGACTTGCTGATTATTTTTATTTGCCCGGCAAACGCCTCAATTGAGACATAAAACTATGCCGACACACACATAAACATGTATACACACGATTAGGAGTGCTGTTTGTTTTTATGTTTGGTTTAGCGCTTCCGCTGTTTGCGGCTACCAAGAAATTCCAGCAGATATTGCGTATACGCATTAAATGGCCCAGAATGAGATACAAACAAACAAACGGAAAAATGGGCAGGAGGGAGGAAAACAAAAACGAAAATTGGCAAAAGCGAAGGGAGCGCAAACATTTGGCCAGATTAAAGTGTGCACTTCGAGGCCAGGGCCAAAATTCAATAAAACATGGCCCATAAATCAATGAAAAACTAATCAAAAAATCAAAAGGAAAACACTGGGGGATTTGTTGGTTCCGAAATGGAATTGGCTGCCAAATAAAAATAAAAACTATGTATGAAAAGCAAATTACAGCAGAAATTAGGGCTGCTTCTGTTGCAAAATTCATTTAAAATGCAAATCAATTAAATTAAGAGCGCAACTTTGTGTTTTCCAGCCGGGCTAAAATTGAACACTTAAATTTATGCAAATGCAACAGCAGCAGCAGTAGTAGAAAAAGCGAGATTCTGGCCAAGCCGCAAGCTTAAATGCTCATTAGTGTTTTGGACCAAAAAAAAAGCAGTAATAAAATAAAACCCCCGAAACTAAAACGAAGAGGGAGCGCAGTGGAGCGTGTTTTCGTCGCCTGCATCGCATTTACATTTTCAGATCTAGCAGTGCCCCATAAGCAGGGTTTATAAGGACGAATAGCCGCCCCATCTAAATGCAAAGCACTTGAAGAACCGGGGGGCTTTAGGTTGCCGAACTGCAAGCAATTAATTGGGACTTATGGCCCAAAGCCAAGGCCAACTTGGACTTTGGCTGAAACAGTAGGATTTCGGCTGCTGCATTCTTATGCACTCTTGCGTAAATTGATCCCCATTTAATGATGCGCTTCAGTGGCAAAAATAACTTGCTTGTGACAGCTAAGCCTTCGTTTTATTTCATTGTTATTTCATGCGAGTCAGGTCTTCATGCAAACAAACTCACTGCTTTGTTTTTCGTTTGAATGGAAAGTCTCATTGATTTCTGCACACAATGCAAATTCAAAATGTTAAGTATACGCAGCGTTGCGCCAGCCAAAGTTTGCGCAAGCAAATTTTCCGATAAACTTTGGCTAATTAAAAAGTTGCTCTCAATACATTAAAAGTGCACTTTTTCTGTGTGCTGGGGTGATGACAAATTGGCATATTGTGGCTGCAGAAGGTTGCAACTTGTAACTCTTGCCACATGTGGCACAACAGGAGGTCTAATTCTTGCGGCTAATTCCGAGTTTGTTGCTCTAAGCCTCGAGCATTTGGCATCAGCTTCCCGGCGTTATGCACAAAATTGTCAGCACACACAGACTGTTGGCCACACGATAAAACGAGGGCCAAACAAAACCGCACACAAGCTACCAGCGGTTTTACTAGCCCCCTTGGCAATTGCAGAAATAGGAAAAAAAGAGGAAAAAAGCATGTCGAACACACTGTTGTTGTAGCCCACAAGCAGTTGGCCAAGAACTGCGGGCTGCAGTTTAAAAAATACCGAACTCAGCCACTACTCGACTGGACTCTCCAGCCAAAGAACACTCCGAGTTTAAGCTGTGCGTGAGTTTACTATCAATAACTTTTTTTATTCACTTTTAAAGTGCATATACACCATTTCGCTGGTGTAATCTTTATTTATGGGGTTACTTTTTATGCATGCCAACAGTATGGTTGGTGTGAGCTTCGCTTTGGCTTAGTTTAATCTTTTAACGTAAGCTTATTTTGCAAACCTGATTATATTTCAATTTTTGGGAGTTATATTGATCTTATATGGCCTGAACTTTGGCTTTAATAATACGAAATTAAGGCGAATATACACAAAAAACACGTATTTATCAAGTCAAAATAAAAAATACAGCATATCTGTAAACTTAAGAAACTAGATATCGTTTAAAAGTAAATAAATATTTTAAAAAATTTTTCAAAACAAGGAAAAAATAATTTCAAAGAAGAGACATCTTAATCTTTGAATTTCCGTTGACAACAGAAGGCATATCGGGTATCGAAGAGTCGAATTCGTTGAAGCATTTACTTTTTATAATTCACTTGAGCCTTGTTAAGACTGCTGGTGGGCAGCATGTGTGTGTTTATGGGCCACCTCATCATCGGCAACCCGAGGAGAACCCCAGGAAAACCCGAGGAAAACCCCACATGCAACCACTCCAATTTGCTGTGGTTGTTGCTGCTGTTTGTATTTGCCATGCCATTTGCTGGAGAAATTTTTCTTGATTGCCTCGCCCTTAGCATTTTGCTTGTTTTTCGCTTATGCGTCGTCATCTTTCTTTCGCAGTTTCCACTGGCACCGCCACTTCCTTTACCCATTTTCCACTTTTCCACTGGCTCCTTCTCTTTATTTTTCCTAGCAGACAGTGATTTTGACATTTCACGCGCATTTGTTTGTTATGCTTTTCTGCTTTTCTGGTTTCTGGCCAGCAGCATTGACAGCATTGAGCGCGGGAAAGGTCAACATTTCCCTTTTTTGCATATATAAGTGCGTAAGGCCATGTATTCATAGAAATCGTAGTGGGGCATAATAAAAATAAAGGCTATGGCACGCAGGCTCATTAACATTTGCGAGGCACGTGGCGGGAATGACGCTAACTCAGTTGCTCCCCAGCGTCGCATTCGACTTAGCCAAATTGATTTTCCGTCCTGCCGGCCAAACAATCTGGCACAGCGAAAAAATACATAACAATATCAGTTACATTACCATCCCCAGTTTTGCATAACAGTTTTGGGCTTTCCAATTTCTAATCCAAGGCCTCTTACGATCATAACTTATCTGAATTTTTGCCAATTTGAGAGCTTATTTTGATGGGAAAATATATTTGCATGCATTGAAAACGGTTTAAAATATTACCCATATTTTATGAAAATCTATTTAAATGTTTATCATGATTAACAAATTCAAGGAACTTGAAAATTATGCTTTTTTAATTCCAAAATCTACAATTATTATTTTATTTAATATTTTAAAATTACTAATTATATTTTAGAATATTTTAAAATGTATTGCTTGAATTAACAAGTCTGAAAAATATATTATATTATATGTTTTCCTCTTTTTCCTTACTCTGTATTCCCTCAAAGGCAAAATAAACCTCAGGCCAACACACAATTCCACTCAAAACAATTATGAATGAATGGCCAGCAGAGCACTCAATCCAGCTAACAGAGGAGCTGTTGCTGTCGAGCGTATGTTAACGCCTTCAGTTGGCCAACAGCCACAGCTTCTGGCAAATATTCTGGATTTAGTCCAACAACAGACGTCGAGGCGAGAGCACGCGGCCCCAAAGACGTGCGCATGTCAAGTTGCGAGCTGCGTTCGGTTTTCCATTTGAGCCACATGGCGTATACGCGATTCGGTCCGTGCCACTGCCTGCATTGAGTATTGAGTCAATAATGGTCGGTGGTCAGTGCTGCGGCTATAGTGCGTGAGCTGAGTGGCAGATAATGTGTCAATAATTGATTGACTGGGCAATCGGCATTGCTCGATCAGTATGTGAACAGGAATAAACTGGGAAGGAACTTCGATGTAAGGTTTCAAGAATATATAATTATAAGTTAAAGAATATGTGCATGATAAGAACTCAAATATTTCAATCGGTATAACTTACTTAAATGGTGTAATATATATAAAGTGAAGTGAATACTTTTCGAAAAGATTGTGAAATTAGAAAATATTTAAATAAAAAGCCTTTTGACTTTATGTTGAGTGTATCATCAAGACCCATTAACTGCTATCAAAAAGTCAACAAAAATCATATTTGAATTTCGAAAAATAAAACCCTGTTTTTTCACTTAACCCAATCCTTTAAGTAAAATTAAATAACAATACGAAATATAATATAAATTTAAGGGCAGGGCCTTTGAGACAATCCAAAGAAAGCCAGAAGGGCCCAAATAAATGCAAATGAAATAAATTCAAATCGGATCAGGACGGTGACGTATTTAAATTTCACCAGGAGCGAAACGAGCCCACACGTAGTTCGACATTCGAGCTGTCATAAGCCGGAATTCAGGGCGTATTGCATTAGGGAAGTTCTTTCTTGTGCCGCTCGAATTTCCCCGGGGCACTTGGGATGCACGTGAATTCCATGCCGATGGATTTGCCTCTTATTCCCCTTCCGCTCTCATGTATTTTCCTTTTTTTACGGCGTTTGTCAACGCCATTTCCCCTCTGTTTGATTTGCATATAGCTACCTGTCTGAGTTCCCCGAAAAAACACCCAAGAACGTGCGTCCAAAGTAAACAGGGGATGGGAATAAAAAATATAAAAGACGCAAAACGTGATAAAATAGGCGGAAAAATAGCGGATAAAAAATGAAAACATTTGCCGGAAAACAAAGAAAATTATCTGACCAGATGCCCGGTTTCCCTTCACTTCCCGGGGGAGAAAAAAGGAGGAATACATAAAAAAATCCTGGGGTCGCCGCAGTGACAAGTGACAGTTTGTTTGTTTGTTTGCCGGCCAAATAACGTCTGATACGGCCGCCTAATTTGGCCGACGCTTTTATTGTTTGCCCACGGACATGGCGTCATTATCTCCTGGCATTTTCATGACCCCCCTCCTCTCCCCGCGCTTGTTTACACGCACTTTTAACGTGTTTATTCGGCCGTAACGCCAACTAATTGAAACACACCGGGCGTATACTTATTGTAATGCCCGTGGGCGTGTCACGTTCCGCGTGCAATCAGTGGCCGCCTTGAGATCCACTCACCTGCAATTGCAGTGCACTGAGGCTACCACTACCACTACTGTCATTCGGCCCTCAATGCCAGCAACTGAAAGCAGAAACAACAGTAGTCAGTAGTGAGTAGTCAGTAGTCAGAAGTCCTCGTCGTCGTCATCAACAGCCTCGTAGTCGCGATGCCGTTCAGAGGTTGAGGTTCAGGTTCAGGCCGAGTTGAGGTTGAGCCGAGCTGAGTGAGTGAGTGCCATGGGCGGCAACTTGTTTACCCGCCTGTGTTTTAATGAAATGCAAATGCAAACACAAGCCCTGAAGTACCATGGGCGGGATGAGCTCAAAGTGAGGCCAAAAATAGGTGAAGGGTTAGCAAATCAAAACCCCTTTTATATTTGTATATTTGCTTACCATTAAATTGTTTGAAAATATTGTTTTTAAAATATAAAATTCTAGCGGAAAATACAATTCCAAAATTAAATTTTTGTTCCAATAAATTTACCCTAAACAGAATTCAAACAAAATGTTGCCCACTTTCTTTTCATTCAAAAAACCTTTAATTGAGGATGTTTTGATTTGGTCTATCGAATTTGGTGTATTCTAAATCAGCAGTGTTTGTTTTCATAAGCCAGCTCGATGGCTTGCCAAGATTGATGGCTTCCATAAATCGAAATAAATGGTTGGAAGTCTCCGGTATTTGAGGTAAACACTCCACAGTGCGCACCTGGTCCGCTCCCCTCTCCCCTTCGAAGAGGTAATTTTTCTTGGCCCGCCTGCAATGGCACTTAGTGGTAATGGGGTTACTGCCAAGGAGCCGCAGTCGCTTTGAAAATGTCCCTGATTTGCTACGCAAACACTTCAATTTCCGTGACAGATGACAATTTGCCACAATTGCACATTGCAGTGCAATTGGATTTAATAAATTTTCAAATCACATTTGGCCGCCATTAAATATGTATTTATCATAATTTTATTCATGTTAGTCCTGCGTTTGATGTCCTCCCCGCTCGCATAAATAAATTGGCAAAAGATTTCTTTACGACCAAAGGGGATGATGGCGTTTCGGCCCTCAAGTTGACTTTGCCAGCGAGGTCATAAAAACAGATTTAAACACAATTTTGAAATTGCCTCGGATTGGCCACCATTCAGCTGGATTTTGATTTAAACTGCAATTTGGGTATGCATTAAATTTATGGCAATACATTAAACTAAATACTCTTCATCGAAGATATCGAAGGTGTCGCAGCGGATATTGAACGTGACAAACTTATGAAAAGCGCTAAAACATGTTTGCCTAAGCTTATTTTTTTATGAGGAATATTAAAAGGGGGTTCTTAAGTCGTAAATATTTAAATATTTAAAAAGCGTAAAGTTTATTCAGCTTGATGAGTTAATTACACCATTACTATTCACTCAAGAGAGGAAAGTTTGAAACTTCCAGCAAACTTTGAAATTGACTCCATCATATTAAAATAAACACAAATATAACTCTGTAATTCAAGTTAAATTCACATTAAAGTTGCTTGCGCTTTACCAAATACATTTTTGAGCTCAGCCCAAGTATTTTCTTTCAAAAGTCAAACCGTCAAGGATAACGTCAAATACTCCTTAAGACGAACTCGAAAAGTTGAAAACTTTTCCAATTCACTTAGTTCATTAACGTGATTCATCGGCCAGTGAGTTTGAGAAACTCCGCAAATGGTAATCAACTGGCATTGATTGCTCCCTTTTTTTTTTGGTCTTGAGTCCTGATCCTGTGCCAAGAACTCGTCTCGGATTGCAGCAACCCATTGACCTTGGCCGGAAACCAGAGAGGAATATTTTTTGGCCAGGCCCAGCGACAACTCTTTGGTAACATATCACTCAACTCAAGTTTTTAGCCCCGGCTCCCCAGTCCTCTGAAAGTTGCCATGAATAACTTGTGAATTTCTTTGAAAATGACTCTCTCAAAGGCAAAGGAGGAAAAGCGGAAGTTTCCTTTGCTCGCGTTTGACATGCAGAAAAGGTCGTCCAACACTTGAATTTAATTAAAAAAGAATTTGTGCTCTAAACTTTTAAGCTGCAAAGGCAAAGGATGCTGAAGCTGCTGCAGTTATTTACCCATTATGCCGGTTAATCCAAATTAATTTACAAGTTCGGTCGGGTCTTTATGATTTATGCTGATAACTCAATTTGGCTCCCCCGTATTTATATTTATATTTATATTTATTATTCTGACGCCTAGCCAACATTTTCATTAATTTATTACCGCCAGCGGCGACTGATTTCACTTTAATTCAATTTATGTCGGCCAACAACATCGCATCCGTAACACCATCGAGAATTCGTATTTATTTCATGCACACGATTTCCAACAGCCAACCGTCAACAGCCCATGGGCCATGATGTCGGGACAAAGTCACTTAGCTGCTTATCTCCTCGGAACTAAGCCAAATCGCCCTGAAATGGAGTGGGCGTGGCACATTGTGTCTGTTTTTCTTTTTTTTTTCGTTTTTGGAGGGAACAGAGAGAGTCACGCATCGGGGAATATATGTACTACTAGTATGCACGACAAATTCATTATAATTTCGCCTACCCAAAATCCTCGACGGCTTGAATTTTCCTGCGTGCGTGCCAAGACATACGGCAAACGAATTTCCTGCCAGCTTTGCGGTTGTATTGGTGGCACCAACACATACAACCCCCACTCACCCGCACACGGACACTGGGAAAACACTCACTGATCCAATATGAAATCAGTTTAAATGCGCCCCAATGTGTCGTTCCTGGATTATGATTGCGAACGTTTGCGGCTGCCTCGAGGGCGGCTCCAAATGTAATGAAAGATTTTCTATTTTTGGCTATAACTGAGCGGGAAATTTATTGAGTGATCAATATTTCCATGGGAAGAATAGCTTTAATTTTAATATTAGTTATTATTTAATAATCTGGGACTTATGAAATAGCAATAACTTGTTTGATTTTTGACTAGCTGTCAGTATTTATTAAGCATGATAAATTCATAAAATATTGTTGGAGTCATAAGGACTTAAGTTTTGCACATTTATTCCATCTTTATTAAATAATTTAAATACAAATAAGCATTAAATCAATAGTAGAAGTATAATCTCTTATTAATCAGCTGCTTTTAATTATATTAATTACAGTTTTTAATCAGTCCATTTGCAATTCGTATTTCATTTCAACTATTGAGTGTGCTAAATAAACTGAAGCCAAAAATATTACAGCTCGTCTGTTTAAACTTTAAAGCTTTCCTCTCGCCTTTTCTATGTGAATTCAATTTTGTTTTTGATTAAATGATAATAGCATATCCACACGTTAGTTTATAAACGCCATTTTATATCAAAGCAATTGCATTTGAATGGGTGTTTAGTTTCAATCTTTATTATATTGGAAGCTGGCATACAAAATAAATATTTTCGCCATTGGTTTTTATTGTTGTTGATTTCCCGAAAAATATTCAATTCAGTTGCACATAATAAATGGCGCAAAAACGAAAAGAATTGCAGCTACTGGGAATGCCATAGGGAAAAAGTATAAAGTCCCGTGGTGATTATTTAAATAAATACAGATCATCTTCTGCATATATAAATACAAGTTTGCTTAAGAGCCAGAGAGAAAAGCTGCAGAATTATGCCTTTTTCCGTTGCCACAATGTGCCCATGGCCATGGCCAGCGAAAAAGTATTCTTTATTCTTCGGGCAGCAGGCGAAAAATATGAAGAAAAAATCGTTCTCGAAATTTCCGCCTTAGCTTTCTCCAGGTTTTTTTTCGTTTTTTTTCGCAAAGGATCTGAAAAGGAACCCAGTGCTTGTTCATGTGTGTAAATGGGAGCATGTGAGTGTTTTCCAGCAACTGTGTGAGTGAGGCATTATGCGCCCTGGCATTTTTATGGCACTTTAACTTTATGTTGAGTAATTCCCGGCTGAAAGGCGAGAGTCAAGGGCCCGAGCAAGTGTGGCCGAGACCATGATGACCGTTTTGTAGGGGCGATTGAATGCGTGTGTTCGGCCCTTAACGGCGGCTATTGAATTTATTAATTGCTTAATCATGATCCGGTTTACAATTTTTCACCCCTTTTCATCGATACCTGAATGGGTTTTTTGATGAGATTTTCACGTATTTTCTTTTGGTCGAAAGAATTGTTTATTTATATGAAAGTCTTTAATCATTTTTAATTAATCAAAAGGCAGACATTTTTGGGGGATTGGTAAAATATTTTTTTTTTTACTTATTTTTCCATTTATTTGTTGGGAAACTCCATGTTGTATTCGCGCTTGAGGACGAACTTCAGGTCTAGCAGGCCTACACGGCTCTTTCGGTACTTGGCCAACTTGACCATGCGCATGGAGACGTCATTAGCGAAGGCATCGGCTATTTTGGCCATCATATCGCAGCCCTGATCGTCCAGCGAGGAATTTCCGTCGATTTTCTGCACAAATTGCTGCAGGTTGCTCTTGGTTATAATCTGTGTGTGTGTGTGTGTGTGTGTGTGGGTTGGGGGAAAAGCGGCTCGATTAATACATCTTAATTGGGAAAGTCGTTACTCACATCATAGCTGCCGCCTGGGACGCAGAGGCTCTCCATTTCGCTAGACGGCTTCACTTCGACGCAACTGTCGCTGCTGGAGTCGCTGGAGCTGCTCGAGGATCTGGTGGAAAAGTGAGTCTCGCTGTCAGACGATTTATCGCTGTCGTCGCCATTGCGGCCAAAGGACCAGAAGTCCTTGTTCTTCCTCTCCATGCTTCAATTAATTTCTTGCTTTTCCTGGATAATACCACATGAAATAGGTGAGAAAATGGCCAAAACTAGTTGGAAATTATAGGGAGATAATAGTAATAGCATACTTTTTGGCGTTTAATATTTATAGTTTCTTTAAGGTAAAAGGAAAATGTTGAGACTCAATAAAAGTTAACTCATTAAAATGGGAAAATAAGAACTATTTTTTTTTTTTACTCTTTGAATCGGGGAATCCCAGCTGCGCGGGAAACCCAGACTCTACTCCCTTCGCCCTTGGCCCTGCCATAAATAACCAGTTTAAGTCTCTGCACCTGAACGCTTGCCATTGTTGCCGCAGCGTTTCCCTTTTCCGCTGCGGCTTTTCCTTCACGGTTTTTCCGCCGTCTTGTGCTTTTGATTTATGTCCCGACTCGACGGTGCACTTTTCATTTCACATGCGCCGCATCTAAGTAAATATCAAAAAGCAACAAATTGTGGCCGTGCCATAAACGACCTTTGGCCCAAGCCTAAGAAGCGGCCAGGCGACAAGAGCGTCGTCGTCGTCGTGGCTTAATTTTATGCCAGGTGGGTCGGGACAAGGCCAGTCAAAACAACAGCCCACACGTGCCCAGGTGTCCTGCCGGCCCATTATGCCGTTTGTTCTTTTCGCACACGGCCTACGGCACAGTGGGAATTTCACTCGGGCGAAACGCGCAAAATTTAAGACCACCTTGGGAGTTGTGGAGCTGGCTGAGCTGGAATTTAAACTGATTTAAATTTGAGATTTTCATCCACAGTAAATATTTTAAGATTACGAGTTACGCATTAAAGAGATGAATTTTAAATTATATTTAAAAACATTCAGTAAATCGGAAAATAATTTTTTTTTATAAGTTTGTAGGTTTGCTGGCAGAAAACAATTTTCCATTTTTAATGTAAAAACTGCACTAAGTAAGTGGTATTTATAAGAACAATTTATTATATATTTTACAGATAAAAGTTATTATAAAATGTTTTAAATTGGGATCACTTTAAAATTCTAAATTATAATTGCGCATAAAATTAATTCTAATAAATATTTAAAGTATTTAATTTAATTTTTCCAGTTCCATAGTCCCCATTTTTGACATTCTAAAATGGTGTGCCATTTGTTTGTGCTGCGCTCTGGCCACTTTGGAGGTGCTCCTCGGTGTCCTCGGCTTAATAAAGTCGCCTACTTAAAGCGAGCGACAATGACATTGTGCGTATGTTGCCAGTCCGCCAGGCGCAGAGGTTCTGGGGGGTCGGGGTCACCCCTTGGCCATGTGTCACACATCCGCATCCGGTGTTTGGCATTGGCATTAGGCTTTCCACTTGCCCCCTTCCCCCTGCCACTTTCCTACTTTCCCCTGCCGACTGTCGTTTGTCGTTTCCGGCATGCGACTCTTTTATATCGCCGCTTTTATTTGCTGTGTGCACTTTTTTGCTCCTGTCCGCCCATTGTTGCTGCCCCTGCGCCTGATTTCTGTTTCATATTTTCACATTTTGCCCGGCGTCCTTATGCACAGTGCGAGAGCAAAAAGCGCTCGACGTTTAGCTTTAAGTGTGCTGAGTGCCATAAATTTCACTTTGTCAGGGTCTTTAATCGCCCAAGCCCCAATCAGGCAGTCATTGTGGGGCTTGAATAGAACTTGGCTGGTTGCGAAAGGTTAACTGTCGTCGGGCAGACGAGAAAAAAGGAACTGAGTCTAATACATGAGAAATATGTTTTAAATTTTATATCTAGCCAAACATATTTTTTAAAATTTATTTTAATACTTGTGCAGACATTTTATTATTTTAATGACATAAATCATTGCATTTTTGATTAAGATTTGTTAGAGTGTTTAGACATCAAAAAATTTTAAAAACTTTCTCTGAATCTCTAAAAGTGTTTACTTAGTTATACCTCACACAACTTTTTATTAAAAAAGGTATATTTCCCCTAAAGTACTGTTCAAATTCAACATATCATTCCCTCAGTTCGTGTTTATGAAGTGCTAATTTGCAGTCGCACTCGCTCATAAAAAATAACAGGCTTAGTTGCCAAAATGTTTGAATTAATCACACATTTGTCAAAATTATTCAAATGTCTTTTGCGGCGCACAGAGAGAAAGTGTGGGTGACTGAGTGACTGCGACTGTGTGCGGACATGAATAGTTAATACGAATGCGGTCGTTCCGCCTCCTCCGCCTCACTTTTATCCGGGGCATGTGTCTGGTGTAATAAAGCTAATGAGTTTCTGCCATGTCTGGCAGAGTGTCGAGACTGAGGGGCTAATTCTCATTGCCATTCGCAGCCAAAAGAGATGGGGAACATGCACTCGCAGCATGGTTTTATTTCACATGATTATGGCATTCTGTTGTTAAGGATTTCCCACACACAAAAGAAACTGCCTCGCATTCTTAGTCACCATTTTATTGGCGGGGGAATTTTCTTAGCCCGCGCCATAGCCATATCCAGATATTGCGTATACGTCACGGTGGCAGATATTGCGTATACGAAATTGATTTAATTCGTGCCAGACACTGCACACATACTATGTTTATACGATAGCAATCACGATTTCTTGAAAGCGCGATATAGAAATTGCCCCTGTTTATACGACAGCCGAGAATTCATGCTTTTATTCACTCTCAGCTGATATGTATGCCGGACCGGTAAAAATATCTAATTTTTAATACCACTGATTAGAGAAATGGCCTATAAAAAGCCATCAATTTCTAGCGATCTGGCAACGTCGATAATTTTTTACAGAGTTACCAGATTGCATATCACCAAATCACGCTTTTGGGCTGAAATCATAGTCAACTTTCGTGTGTTGCCGAATTCACGAAATGGCGTTTATACAAGCACGAATCGGCCGAAAGCGTGAAATGATAGCGTGAATTCGGCATCGTATAAACACAGTAACAGACAATTAAACATAACTTGATCTGCAACAGATTCGCGTTAATGTTTCATAAATGCAAAAAGCAACGCATTTAAATTCCTTCTACATTTAAGTTTTTAATTACACTCAGCACGTCAGCAACAGGAACGAAAATGGAAATGAAAATGGGGAGAAGACGAATACGAAAACGAGGACGTGGATGAGATGAAATCCTTTAATAGGCGGCGCGCCATTTTGTCGCCGGCATCGTCACTTAATCCTTTCGCGGCATATTTTCCAACGCGCCGTGACTTAATGAGGCGCATGTAACGAACATTGATAATTCTCAGGCCAAGATGTTGACTAAGAGAAGAGCTCACGCGAAATTATCTTCCGGCTTGGCTCGTCGACATTGGTGTAGGTTTTAGCTACTTCTCTTGACTGGCCTATTTTCATTATTAATTCTAAACAATATTCGCGTGACAGGACAAGCTATGACAAGGGGACGAGATACTACATATTTTTAATCAGACAATACGGAAATCTACGACTATGGGGTCTATTGCACTTCGCCTATTTTGTGAACACTTTAAAACCTCAGATGTTGTGGAGATTTTACATCGCCCTCCCTTCCTTTGACCGTTTCTTTCCTTATTAAAAAAACCCATATTCTATGAAACGGTCCCTTGTTGTTCAGGGGTGTCAGGGGGTCATTTATGCCGAGTCAAAAAATTGGGGATTTTAAAACATTATAATATTTTATTTAAAAACTAAAAGAAAAATACGAGCAATTCATGGGGACAGCTATACATCATAATAAATTAGAGAACAGTAAAAATATAATAAATGGGACAATATAAAAATATATATAAATAAAATTGCGATAAAAATATAGAAGAAAATATAGTTTATATAAAAGGTTAAATATTCATGCGGGCCTTTATGCGATGAGATCGGATTTAAATATCTTGGATATCAAAAATAAAAATGACAGAATTTAGAAAGCGAATCAGATTATTTTGGCAAATAAGTGTAAACACATAGCCATGACTTGAGCAGCAAAACGCAAATTATTTGAATTATATTTTTTTGATTTTCCACCACTCATTTGTTTTCTTTACTTCTTATTTTCGGCTTTCATCTTCCCGTGGGATTTTTTTGGTTAATTTTACTTTAAGGAAAAAAAATGTATAAATTCTCGCATATCGCATATTTTTACTTGTGACCTTTTCTTTGTTAGATTATCCTCTATATGTCATGGTTCATAATTAATACGGAACTTTTGTTCGCTCACCACAATTTCTGCTGGGGTCCTCCTCGACGAAAGCGCTTTCTCGGGATGAACCTGAAACTTCAGAAAATATTCTTTTTTCCTGGCACAAACATATCACGGGATTTAAATATATATATATATTATTTTTTTTTATACATTTAAGATTAAAAAAAAATCACACAAAAAAATGCGATTGAGTCGCCGGGCAGAAATCACCAAAAAAAAAACCACTCAATTTTTAAAACCACTCAAATCGACCTTTGCCTTTTTCTCATCATTTTCGCACTTTGATCGGGTTTCGTTTTTTTTTTCACCGCATGGATATTATATAATTAAATTAGGTTAAACAACTAAACTAATATATTTTTTTTCTTTTTTTTTTCTTTAAATTAAGACTTAACTAAAAATTTTCTGCTGCCTGATTTTTTTTTATATTTTTTTATCATTGGGCACTCGGATTCGTTCCGACATTTCAACAACTATATGTGCGCCACTTATTTGTTGGCTTTGGGGGATCTAAATTGGGCTTTGACAATTTTTCACGTCACTCGGTCGGGGCACTCATGATTGGAAATTTTTCCTCTATTTTTCCCACTAAAACTGAATTTTCCCGACGAAAGTTTAGCGACTTTCGGTCATCCTCTTCCCGGCGTAAAATAATTCGCCCTCGAAGGCGGCTGCGCGACAACTGCGCGAATCCAGAAAAAACTCAAGCAGGCGCGGCGATTTGGAGATTTCTTGTTGTTGCAAGCCTTCGTCTTTCTTCGGTCCTCGCTTTGCCAATATGCACTCAATTTTGGTGCGCTTACTTCCCAACTGATGATTTTGATTTTCTTTAGCGCCAAGCCTAATAAAATAAATTCCTTACTAAATTTTCCTTCACCCAAACCCTACGCTTTGGAAACTCACCAGCTAGGATTTAGCGCTGCGCTGGATATTTGAACGCTTTTGCGTTTCTCTATTCGCCAAGCTGCCGGGGATTACTTCCGCACAAAAAAATGTAATTTGGACTGTATAATTTGAACTTTTGTCCAGCACAACTTGTACCTCTGACGCCACGATTAGAACAGACAGATTCAGACGCCACAATTATGGCGGTAACCTCTAGCCGGGTAGATTAGATAGAGAAAGGGAAAGTTGACAGAAAGGTCTGTTGCTCTCCTTGCCGCTTTTCTTTTGCCACACCCCATACCGCCGAGCGACTCCTAGATGGCGCTAACCCTATTTTACATTTAGCTAACTACAAGCGCTACACGCATTTCCATTTCCATGCCAAGCACGCGGCTCGTCCTTCCACGCTCGATGGCAAACAATGCGGATCCTTCCGGGAAAAGTGTGACTCTAAGCCAACCGCCATACACCTCTTATCAGTTGCATTTACGGTGGCCCAGGCACAAATGTGGAATCACATTTAGTTGGCTTGGCAGGTGCTTAAAGCCCCCCTTTGTTGGCCAGAAAAGTGTGAAAATTTAATTTTCCAACAGGAAATTAATTTCGTTTCCGCTCTGAAAATATCCTAGCAGACTAAGTTAAATTGGCAAACCATTTTAAATTGTTTGGAAAGAGTGGGAAATTATTAAATAAATTAAATGGATATCAGAAGATTTATTTGGATTTTAAATAGATTTTATAAATATTTATTTTCAACATTTTTTTTTTTAGTCAATGGAAAAGATTTAATAGTTCTAGAAATTCAAATAGTTTAAAGAAATTCGCAAGGTAGTCCTTTTTCAATTATATTCCCAATAAATCAGATGATTTGAGTGGATCGAACCGTGAGAAATACAGCCGATTTAAAGGATATTAATTGAATTATTGCATTTCTTCACTCTTTTCATGGCCACTCGAATGATATCCTTCGTAATTTATTCAAAACTCTTGCCCAAGGCCTGTACAAAGCTGTTTGTGTTGGTAAATTGAGCGACTTGACTGGCACAAATCAAACACGGACTGCAGGCAGACAGCTTCCACTCATCTCGGCCCCCAATCTCCTAGCCATTGCAAACAATTTACCTTGGATCTTAGCCTACATTATTTGTTTGCTTTGCTTTCCTGCGCTGGCTTTCAGACCTTTCAGCTGATGCAGCTGGCTCAGTTATGCTCAGTTGTTTTCCTTTTAATGTAATTTCATCGTTTTATGGAGAAGATGGTCTAGCAAAGGTCAGAATGGCGGCGGAGGTTGCTAGGGAACTTTTTAATATTTTAGTCCGAAAATTTAAGATATTTAAAAAGTAAATGAACAGCATTTTAGTTCTGTCACACATACAAATTACTTTAATATTGTTTAAAATATTAGAACTATTTATTAAGTACCTGAGAAACATAAAGAAATACATTTAATAGTAAAATATGCATTATTTTCTTCATGGTCCCGAAACGATATCTTATTTTTAACACGATACTACACCATTTAAATAGGATTTTATTTTAAAAACTTTTGTTTATCTCCACGGATTTTTAAGCTCCATGCTCTATTATAAACTCTGCTTTCCAGTACTTCTGTAGCCACCCTCTTTGTAGATCCTCCGTCTGTTGTCTTGCATATTCCTGCTGCACCAAGAGTTGAATTTAATTTCATTTCGCTCGACTCGGGCTCGACCTTTGTTGACTGCTTGTTTATTTGTGCGCATCGAGGGGTGCCGAGGGCGAGGGCAGGGGTTAAGTGGATACAAGTTTGTGGCCACCTAGAATAGCCAATTCCGCCACTCAAAGCCAAATGAAGTGTTAACGCCGAAAAAGCCAAGAGCGTTCGGTTGCCAACTGTCGCATCCGGTGTGATTGTTGTTTTGTGCCTGAGGGGCAAGCAAGAAAAAAAAAAAAAGCAGAGCCACAAACAAAAATCGATGGCATGGCAAAAAATGCGAAACTAAAATCCCCGTCTGAATCGAATCGATTGCGGCGACGATGGTGAAGTGACGTGCCGGAAATCGACGATGCCACATCCCAATTCTCTCCACCTTCCGCTTTTCCGGCGATTCCGGAAAAGCGTGACAACGCGTTCCCGGTGTCGCCGGATTTTGCATATATGCAATTTGATCTCCAACCCACTCAATCTCACTCTATGTTATTTGTCCCGCTTCCGCAGATGGTCAGCAATCCAGGCGAGGTGATTGGAAATAAGCGAAGCTAAGTGCATCCATTTGCATTTGCCAATTTGCAATTTGCGAGCTGAGCGGCCGCCTTGATGGCTTGCCGCGATTTCGAGAACAAATAGCGGATATCTGTGACTTGTGAGCCATGTTCGATTGAATGCGGCAGCAACATCTAGACCAACAGCAGCAACAACAACGGCAAGAGCAACACCAACGAACAACATGTTGACAACTCACCATCTGCACCACCTGCACCACCATCGCGGCAGTACGGCCGTGGAACTGGACAAGATCACCAACCTGAATACGGTAAGTTCCCAAAAATATTACAGAAATACTTAACTTAAATTTAGACCGCCGTGGATCTTTTAAAACCATCTCTAAATTTATTATTATTTAAATAACCTTGAGCTATAAAATATTTCTCATTAAATGACATCTGATTGCTTTTTATAGCAAATTAATCCTATTCCAAGCTTAAAACTCTAACAAATCGCAAGACCGCCGGCCAAGAAAATAATCTTTAAAGTTTTTAGGCTGCAATGATTTAAAAATCTCCGAATAAGCTAAAATCTAAATTCTTGTCTGTAGGCAAATATCGCTTTAATATCAAAAGACCAAACTCTCTAGTTTTTCTGATGGCATCAATAACTTTGCTTTCCGTAGTCAAAGCCGAAACGCTTGATTGCATTTGAAAAGATAAATTCAAGCAAAAACTGAAACCAATTTAGCTTGTTCCGAAACTTGCAAACCTCAAACGATTGCCAAATTGCATTTATTTTTTCCAAAGAATTCCGGCTGTGTGACCTTTCCAAGAAGTGCCGACTCGCCTTTCGGCAAGTAAAGTAAAGACGAGCACTAATGAATCCCAATTCCGAATGCACAGTTTAATCCGTTGGAAAATTGCGAGGGAGAGCTTAGAACTGCAAAGCCACCTTAAGTTGGCGCCGTAAAGTGCGCTGCAGGAAATGCATCGCGGGAAAATCAACTAATTGACATGGCCTTCAATTAGGGCGAAGTTAGCTGCGATTTTCCACAGTGCAGCTGGTCAGCATCCGGCCCAGAATAATAATAACAGGATTGAGTGGAAAACAAGTTTATGGCTAGCATGTGAAGGAGGTTAGTTAAAAGCAGACCACCCACACTGCATTAACAGCTGATGGAAATTATTGAAAGGATTGCATTAAGTGAAAGTGGGTTTGGCGGGGGCGGCGGGGATAGAAAAAGCGAACGTGGCTCTCTTGACCATACACAAAAGTTGTCTAGCAGCAAAATGAAAAATGTTTTTGTAAAAAAGCGGGGGGAAAAGCGGGCAGAGTGGCAGCGAAAAGGAAAATGTGAAACACGTTTATTGCCATTCATTATATTCTCGCGAGCTGTTGCGCAAAGTAATGAAGCACTTTTATACGAGGCAGCTCTCCTTTCACAGGGCACGCACAGACCCACGCCCATTCCAAACTACGCCTTTTGCACTGCAAATAATATTTTTAAAACATTTATACAGCTGTTCTTAAAACCGTGTTTATAAAGAAAATATTTTATCAAACCAAAATATAAATTGAGTTAAAATAAGACAAAACATTTTGATTTCAAATATTTGAAAAAATAAATAAAAACTGTGTTTTATAATGAATCAAAATAGTTCTAAATTTTTTTAGCAAAAAATATTTGACTATTATTTTTAGTCCCACATTTTTCCCAGTGTCTCAGCATGTTTTTGCTTTAAAAAACACTCTTCGGAACGGGAGATTGACTGGCGTTGATGAGAAAAGACTTCTCGGTCCTCCCGTTTTTGTTCAAGAAAAATGGCTTGCTGTCTTGGACTAGAGTGGAAATAATAATTTCGGGTTTGGCCACTGCAGTTTTCCACGGACCGAGCCGGAAAAGTGCGTGCCAAAAAAGAACTACAACCAATTTTCATTAAACGAGCACTCCCACACTCAACAGCCGCCAATATGTCTTCATTAATTTCGGAATAATGTATGGCATGTTTGTGTAGACATTTAGTCGACCCTGTCATTGGGCTTGCTGGCTTGTCGGTTCGGCTCTTAGCTCTTGGCCCCTGGCATTCAAGGGGGCCTGGAACCGCAGGACCTCAATAAAAACTGAAAACTTCTACTTAACTTTAGCGGCGAACATTTGTCTCTCCTGCGTGAGAGATACCGAGTGTGTGTGTGTGGGGTTTGAAGGCCAAATAAATTTCGGGGCTGCCCCAGGAAGTTGCGCAATAAAATGGCCCTGCCTAAACAAAGGATCCTGTTCAAGGCCTTCGCACACAGGACTCACCCGCCCTGTGTCACTCTCAATATGGTCGAAAGGTATCCGTCGATTGTCAGTCTGCTTGATTGATAATGTAAACCGAGCAGCTCAGCACACACTCCGACCATTTGGGCCCCGCAATCCCTATCCCTATTTCTATACCTATCCGAATCCCATCGTCGTAATCGCAGGCCATTGAAACCACTATGGTCCCACTCCTCGTCAAGGAGCAAATAAAAGTCCGTCTCGTTCTGGGCTAGCATCTTATCGATTTTGCGGATTACAAGTTTTTGTTATCACTTACGCAAATGACCCGAATGGCCGATGCAATTGCCGACTAGATGGGAGTTTTCTTTCAAAATGGAAAGGCTGAGTTTAGTTGAAGATGAAGAGGAGGTCTTTAAGGAGTAGAGCTTTAAAATTCCATATAAAAATATTTTAGGTATTTTTACGGATTAATTAATATTTTATTTCTATTTAAATATTATCAGGATAATTGTGTACTACAACACATTTTAATTCTATCAAGGATAATTTAAACAAAAATTGATCTCTACGCAAAATTCCATTTCGATGGCAACCAATTGGGAAACCTCAAAGAAACTGCATGTGATCTAACCAGAGGCATGCCGTCCAATCCAAATTGCTTTCTGCGGCATCAGGAGTCGTGTTCAGAGGGGTCGGGGGATCAGGGAATCAGGGGGTTAGGAGCTCTCATCACCGTCACGTTGCTGCAGCTGCGATTCGATGGTTGTTCTAGACACTTCTCTTCTTTTATTGTTGCCGCTGGCCGAGTGGGGCTTTGTGGCTCACACCAACACACCATTGGGTGCAACACACATCCCTCTTGTCCCCCACACAACCCTCACATGGGTCCATTCGATATTGGCCGTGTGTGTTGCACATCTGCGGCATTGTGTTGTTTTTGCTGCCGCCTCTTGCTGCAAGTTGCTGCCGAGCTGTAATGCACTGAGCAAAATACCTTAATTAAAGCTGGAAATTTAATTTGGAAATGTATCTTCTAAAGTATACTTTTAAGTGTAACCATATTTTGAATTATATTAAAATTTGTATATCCTCTGCTACCCTCTGCAAAGTTGATTTCTTTTTAATTTAAAGATATTTTACAAATTATTTACGATCCTTTATGAAACTTACTTTTTGATGGGTTCTTGTTGGGTTCACAAATTGGAACTACTAGAATTATATTGCATTTTTTCTAGAATAAAATAAACATTTATTTTAACGCTATAAAACAATATAATTTAAGCATAATTACACGTAAAATTGAAAAGTTAAAGTCTTTTAAACGGATTATTCCTTGCATCTTTTTAAAAAAAATCAGCCTCAATTGCTTCTTAGGTAAATTTCTCTCTCTGTAAGCCGATTTCAAAACGATGTCCGACATTCATACACTGTAACGAACCTTTGTTTGACTGAAGGGGGAAGTGGGAGTTGATGCAGGCGACAGGAGGAAGTGGAGAGTTGGGTCAAAGGTCGACTGTTGAATGGACAGTTGGCTAGTTGGCTGCTTCCTGCGATTGCCCGATGCCCCCGCCCCCCCCCTTTCGACGCTCCTGCCAGTTCGATTGTAATTATTCTACAGTTCAACTTGTTGGTTCGCCGGCTAATGCGTTTTGGCACTGCACTCTGTTAGTTTTGCCCCAGTATACTGGTAATTGTTCCTTGTGGGCGTGGCCTTTTCTGGACATCAACAGATGTGGATGTGGAAAGCGCATTAGCAGCAGCGCGTTATCAAAGTTTTTGCAGCTCGTGTTGCAAATGGCGCGTGATATTTATTGGCCAAAAGGAGTACATCTGTAGTTTTGCGCAAAATGAAAAAAAGGAAAATGAATATTATCTTATCCTAACACAAACATACTGCACATGTGGTGAAAGGGGAAAATATTATTGTAATGTTTAAACATAAAAGCTTAATGGTGTTTCTTAATGTTTTTCGAAAAACTACATTTTAGTAGTCTTATATCCACATCCAAAATGGCTTTATAAAACGTTACGAGTATAAGTGCCAATAGTATTTCATTAAATAAAAATAATTGGAAATAAAGTAAATTAAATTAAATGAACTGAAAGGGAGCCTTTAAGGAAATCTTCTACTCTTTGTGGGAATGTAAATAATTATAATTCTGAAAGGCTCAAATTAAAAAGTAAAATTTTTATCTTTTAAAAAATGTAGCTTAAAATTTTTGTAATTCTGAAAAGCTTTTTTTTGTATTATTAATTTGTGAAGTGTGGGTCTCAGAGTTATGCCAGGCAGTGGACATTGTCATTCCATGGCCCTGGGCAAATGCATTCTTAAATGTATCAAAAACACTCTTTTACATATTCTAACGCCCATACACTCTCTTCATTACGAGTGCTGTCTGGCTTTGTCTTTGTTGGTTCCTCTTTTTTGTATTGCAATTTTAATTTCCGCTTTCACTTTGTCTAGATTCAGTCGTACTTGTCGTCGTCGCTTTCTTTTGTTTGTTAGTTTCGTTCTTTACCCTGTCACCCAACCACCCCCTACCACCCACACCCACACGCACACCCACACCAACCATCTTATCTCATCTCCTCCCCGCGGGCTTTCTTTGTCTTGTTCTTGGCGTTGTGGCATTTGCGTTTTTGCTGATTTACACATTTGGCCAACGAGAGCGGGAGTGCAATTGTGTTTTCCTACGGCAGCCACAGCACGTAGGTGCACTGGGAAAAAATTAGGGCACTTTAAATTAATTTGGATTAAAGAAATTATAATTATGAAGGTGACTAAAAGTATGCAGTGAAATATTTCTGTCTGACATCCTCAATACATTTTAGTGCATACTATTTGGCACCTTTTTTATTGATTTCAAAACGCATTTGCCATCTGTGATTTTGAAATTTGCTTTATGCTTAAGTACCTTATTCATCTTTCAGTGTATTTAGCATATGGCATGTGGCACGTAGAACGCGTGCATTTCTTGCTTTCACTTGCTTTTGTTGCATTAAATTCGCAGCAGATGTTTTTCAATTTTCCGCCTCAACTGTTGACGTAAAAGTGGTTCAAAGTGGTTGCCAGTAGGAGAATAATAGAACAACATGGCCAGTCCAGTTCCGCATGAATATGCATATTCACACGGAATGGGGGATTTCTCCTCCGACTTGTTATTATTCTACACGCCACATCATGTGGCGGCACATCTTTTGTAGCACACTTTTTAGGAGGCACTGCTCTCATTACTGACCAAATGAAGCGCCAACTGCGGCGGGGGAATTGAATGTGTATACAGGATACCCAGTCTTATACAAATGAATTTCCCTCATATGGGTAACTGTGTGTGTGTGTGGTCAGGTAATTTCAGAAATGTGCCCCGCTTTTTTCTCGCATCTGTATTATTTTCTGTTTTTGCACTGGGACTTGACTCTGGTTTAGCACTGCCCTCGGCTGTCCCTTTTTATGCCAGCCCAAGGACCTTTGCCGCAGGACGAAGACGACAGGCGTTTACGTTTGGGATTTGCATGAGCTGCATGAACTTTTTGCAATGCCATTCCGACTGGGCCAAAAGCCCCTCAAACTCCCTCCTCCCCGCCTTTCAACCTTTCCACCTTCTCACCCAAAAGCCCTGCTTTGTCTCTTTATATCTGCCGAGATTTAAGCGTCATATAAAATTTATGCGTGTGGCTTTTATGAGCTTATACCTGTGCCACACTTGCTAGTGTTTTATGGGACTCACTGTCCTTGGCGGACAGGTGAAAAAACCCAAATAATTAGGTAGCTACGGCGAGGGGATTCTGTGGGGTCCCCAATGAGCTATGTCTTATTAAAGTATTTAATGAAACAGTTTAGGGATACTGGTTTCGGGTCATATAGGAATACACTATTGGAGGGAAGATGTGTGCTAAAAATAAAGAATTAAATTATTGGGGGTGCCACAGAAATAGCTAGGTTTTTAAAATCACTTTTAAATGTCAAAATAGGTGTCTAAAAGTATGCAACAATATACTTTATATCCTTTATTTTTATTTTATTAATTTATTTAATGACTGCACTCAGAAAAAAAATCGCCCTAAATTTTAGAAAATCGCCATACTTTGAAAATCGCCTTGAAATTCAGAAAATATTTCTATTTTTCAGAAATATTTTTCTAAATAATAAGAAAAACTTACCCTGATTAGATCAACTCCTCTTGTTATCCACTTTTAGAAAAATTTTCTGTTATTCAGAAATTTTTCTTTCAAACTAAGAAAAATCGCCTTACATTTTAGAAAATTGGCCCAATCGGTAGCCTAGGGGTCTAATGCGAGCGGATTATTTGTTTTCTACGCTTATATTCGGAAGCATGTGTTCGATCCCACGTCGAGGCGGACATTTTTTTGCGTCTTTTTTTTTTTTTTTTTTGCGCATTAAAATGTATACTTTAATACAAATAAGGATTTAGGTAAGCTAACACACACATAATGGATAAATAAGAGTATAAACCTAGAACCCAAGAGAACAGAATGAGAAAGTACTTTGTACAGCGCCTCTCGTGATGCTTCCCTGGCGCAGCTAGTAGAGTGTTTGACTGCAACATGTGAGGTAAGGGGTTCGAATCCCGCGAGCGACCAAAATGTTTTCCTCAAGATAGTAAGTTATTTGATTTTTATGTTTATCATTAATAAATAATATAATAATTTCAGTTATTATTTCAGTTACAATTAAAGATTAAAAGTGTGTTTGTGTACAAGCATCGTGACGTCATCCATGTGTTTAAATAGAGGAGAGAAAAATAAGTTGAGAAACGAGAACCCCAACAACAACACCCCACACCGACAGACTCCACCCAGTCGGCATAACTCCCGATTCCCCGATTTTTTTTTCTTCTTCTTATTCAATTTTGCAAAAACTAACCCTAAATTTAAGAAATTTTTTTTCTAATTTTTAGAAATATTTTTTCTAAAAGGCAAGGCGAGCTGCCTTTGGCTTAAAAAGTATGGCGATTTTCTAAAATTCAGGGCGATTTTTTTTCTGAGTGTGGATACTTTTAGCAATTTCTGTGGCACCCCCTATATTTAATATATATAAAAGAAAGAATAAATATTTACTTATGGATTGAATTTGAAGCTTACCCTTTGATGCATTACATAAATACCTTGTGTAATCTTTACTCAACCCTTTTTAGAAACCCATTTTCATGAGATGGCAAAATTTGTGCCTGAAATGAATCCGCATTCAGCAATCGACCCTGCCTTGTTCCTGTCAATATCACAAGCAACTGGGGCAAACAAAGCTGGGTTCCAAAAACAATGAATCCAATAAATTTGCCAACGAAAGGGGGGCTGGGGGGCAGCAACAGCTGATGGTGGAAAAGTTTTGCCTATGCTCAGAGGCTAAGAGGAATGATTACAAAACCATGATCCCGCCCCTAGGCTCTCCCTGGTTTTTTGAGGGAAAGTTTCTGGGGGCGAATCTCGTACTCGCAGCACATTCAATAAGCAATTTGGCTAAGTGCCCCGCCCTGCTCCTCGGCCGCCCTCTTTTCTGTGTTCCAGTGTCTGTGTGCTCGGCATTGTCAAGCCGATGCCATCAATATGACTAATCATGCATATATTTCATAAAGCTGTAAATCTTCCAGCCTCCCCTTAGACTTCCTAATCGGCACAGTCTTCACATCGCACAGCTGTCGTCCCAAATTGAGTCAAGCCACAGAATTCACTTTGCATTCGCCGGGGGCGTTTCAGACTTTCGAGGATTATTAAAATTACGCATACGCCGCGTTTTAAATGAAGTGCGCGACCAGATGGAGGGGCGTGGATTTTGGTGGGCGGGGGGTTGTTGGAAGGTCGGTCGGAAAATGAGGTTGCCAAAGTCAACCATTAATATTTAAACGTGCCGCTCGCATGTGTGTGCACGTGGATTTGCGGCATTGGTTCGTTTTTGTGCGGGAATTACGCGGAAAATTAAGCTTAGCGACTGACGGTAAAACTTTCTTGGCGGAGATGGTAAAATAAAATCAAATTTTAATTGAAATTGGAAAGGCTAAGGGAAAATGTAAATTTTAAATTGGTTATAATTAAAATATAAATATTTTATTTAAAACTATGAAACTTCTAATTAATAAAATCTTGCATTATTTGGCGTCCTGTTGTCGAACCCCTAATTGACTTATCAAAGCATTCCATACTGTTCTATATTTAAACCCATCAAATTAACCTAAAGCCAAGAATAAGGAGTACAGTCAATAATAATTGACTTAATATACTTTTCAGCAACAGCTTGACCCTTCTTCGGCCCTCAAAAAGGGCTGGCCAACCCGAAAGCCATAAAAATGAGCTCGAATAATCCCTTGCATTTCAGGCATTTTAATTTTTATGAGCCTGATTCGGCCGCAGGCAAAAGGCGATGGCGTCGGCAAAGGAATTAGGTCTCGATTGCTCGATTCATTTGCCGCCCTCCATTTCGGCAATGAGCCGTAAAACGGCAGCAGCATCAACAACAACAGAATCCGGCTCAGTTTTATCTGGCCAGAGAATTTTCCCAGAAATTTTGCTGCCAGCCAGTTGGGCAAACAAATATGTATACATATATATTCTTAGGCTGCTGCTTCTGCTGCCTGCGGACCTCGGATGGGGTTGTGCATAAATTAAAATATGTAATGTGCTATGTGCCGGGCCTAATAGAGCTTTCGCATAAATTAAGCATCAGTTGCCGCCGATGACCCTGATACCAGCTTCTCCCTCTGTGATTCCAGCTCATCGTGGAGATCAACAGCCATGTGGCGCTATTCCGCGATATGCTGATACACGTGGGCCAGGCCAAGGATTGCCCCGAGCTGCGAGAGAAGATCCGGAAGCTGCGACGCACCTGCGTGGAGGCACTCAAGCACACCGCCCAGATCCTGATGCCGCAGGTCAAGAGGTGAGTTGGCGCCACTTTCACTCCTTTCCCACAGGTGCACTGGAATAAAATCGATAACTTTATCGAAAATGAGCAAAATTTGAGAACAAAATTAATTTGGTGATTTATATAAATTAAACATATGTTAAAGAAAATCATAACACTTGAAATAAAATATTACGTATCCTACTTATTTCTTATTTATATTAAATTCAAAATTTTTTTATTTTTTATCATATTTATAACTTTATTTATCGAAAATATATTTAAACACAGTTTAAGAAATTGGAAAAATAAAATATGACATGTATTTGTTTCTTATTTAAATTAAATTCAAAACTAACTTATTATTATAAAATAATCTCCAAAATAAGTCCATTATATTAATTGTTTAAATTTATTTTAAATATTTGTCGTTTTACAAAAAAAGTATGCCATCATATGAAATATCCCCAATTTCCTTCAGTGCACCTAAGCGGAAGACCCTAAAGGGATAGATAGCATTAACATAAACATAAACAGCAACGTGTGTGTGACATTTGGGGCATTTCCTTCATGTGTCTGTCCCTTCTTTATGGAAATGTATGCAAATCTAATTGCACTCAAATTGGGAGGGGAAGGTATAACATAAATAACAATTTGTTGGACTCGGATTGAAGACCCTTGGAATGCTCTCCAAAATGAGTTAGTGGCTGAGTTTGAAATTCAATTTCAAAGTGCTGCATAATTTATCAAAGCACTTCACCTCACTCTCCTCCTCCGAACGAAACGGCAAAAGTTAATAACATTTTTTCGAGCTGCCTCGGGGGCTCACAGCATATTGGGTAATTTTTTTTCATTAAACCTGATGAAAGGACCTCTGAGCGAGTGAGTGTGAGTGCAATTGTTTTTCTCATTTGTTTGGGGATAACAAAACAAAGCAGCAAATAAAGGAAAACTGCACAAATGTGGTTGGAAATTATTTTGTTCGATGTGGTAAGAGGTGCCATCAATGTGATATGGATTTACACTCTGGAGAGCCCAGTCCCGTGTCAGCTGGAAAGGCACAAAAAACTTTAACGTCCCAGTTGACTTTCACGGCCTGTCTGTTTACCGACTTCAATTTATTGATTTATGCCCCCCGAAAAATGTTTCAAAGACGAAATCCCAAGTGGATGCCACACATGTGCCGCCATTATCGCACCCCTAAAAACGCCTTCTTACTTATCTTATTTTTTAACAAAACATCTTGAGGGGGGAAACCCTATACAATATCTACCATATTTGTAATTTCAGACGTGTGCGGGGTATCTGTCAAATTTTTGTTTGCCGAGAAGAACTTTTTAAGCACACCACGCTGGCATATGACAATGTGATTTATTATCGAGCAGACGCTTTAAATGTCACTCTGGAGTGGAGAAATGTCAATATAACGAGACGAGCATCCGCATCAGCATTTTGTCCATTCGCACTCTATATGTATTGGCAGATAGTCGGCAAAAGTGCAGAAGAATGAAGAGTAAAGAAAAAGCGGAACCAGAGACACAGTTAAATTGATGATTGGCTGGCAGAAGGCCAGAGACAAAAATACTGACGGGGAGATTTCAATTAATTTTTGCTTTATTGACACAAATGAACGAGTCGTTTTTTCTCTCTCTCTCTCAGAAGCATTTGCAAATAGGCGCACATGGCGTATGAGTGACGACAATGAATTAGCGCTGCAAAAAGCAGACTGCTCGAGGACTCAAACTCAAAGTTAAATTGAAAGTAAAAGCAAAAGTTCAATAAAGCAAAAAGTATGCTCAAAAAATGAACAAAGCAAATGGAAAAGCCGGCAATGGATGGAATGGGGAAAACTTCGGTCGCAACTTGACAATGACAGAGCCAAACTTTGTGACAGTGTTTCGTTGTTTGTTGCTGTTTTGTGTATTGTAAACACATGCATGACCCATGTGAGACAGCCAAAGTCACAACAACTCGATAGTACTGTGTGCCATAAAAGAGAAAGGAGAAAGAAAAGAAAGTGAGGACACCAAAAGAAAATAAATACTTTAAGTTGGATGTTTTGCCATGAGGAATATGTCATACTCTGGGCGAAACCCCTCAAGTTAAAGAGGGAAAATATTAGTCAGAGCTTTTAAAACGAATTTCAATTGCAAATAAACCAAAATAGAAGCCAACTCCTGATGGCAAACTTTTAATATATTCTTGGCTTAAAATCAAGTATCCTGTCTTTAAATTTAAGTCTCCTGCCAGATTAAACTTAAATTAAACCACATTTGTCTCTTGCATATATGCAATGAAAACTTATTTTTATGGCTTCTTAAACTGTTTTATATCTAGCTATTTATGTTAGATCACCACAAACCAAACATTTGTAATAACAACTCAAATATGGCCAAGTTGGCTTTTAGCCTCAACTTTAGTGGTCTTGTTGGCCAAACAAGACGACAAAGTTGTGATACCTTGTGGACACCCAAGGCAAGCAAGTGTTTTTCCCAACCCCTCGAAAAGGGGGGCGCTAAGAAAAATCAGCCCAGACCTATCAGACTACCTTGGAATAGACACTCTTGCTGACGCTTTTCCCGAGTCATGCTCATGCCCATTTCCATTTCCATTCCACCTCCATTTCCACTCTCATTCTCAGATGGCGGCAGCACTTTGCCAACTGCCTTGAGTGACTGATAGTTGTTTGCCTGCTTGTTTGTCCAACTCGCACTTATACATGTACTGAAGATACACTGAAAGAAAATCAATATCAAAGGGATAATGACATATAATTTAAAAGAAATAAGAATTACAATATTTTCAAAGTCTCTCCAAAAAATATATACTTTCTTTTTCGATATTTTAGTAGAATTGTATTTTATTTAATTCAACTTTCACTCAGCTAATTACATTTTTTCCATGTGCATCTTATAGAGCACATATATCCTTGGAGGCGACGTTCGGTCCATTTCGCCGTGTTTGCGCTCGTGTTCATGTTATCTATCCATCTGTCTATTTGCCTGCGCTTACTTCGCATTTGTTCTGCTGTTTGCCTTGTAGTTATGTGCAGTTGTTTGTTGTTGCTAAATTACTGGCGCTGCCTTTGTTTTAGCCGCTTGGTTCCTCCTGTTTTGACAGTCAAGTTAGTCAACAGAGAGAGTCCTCGGGGGCCGGACTGGCTCCCATTGCCATGAAACCCATCCCCGAAAGACATTCCACGTCATGTTGGCTTAAACGCATTTCCGCTGCAAATATTACTCGGACTTCTGCTTCTGCTAGCAGTCTCCTTCGTCCTTCGCTGCTGAACGGAAAACACAATCCGACAATTGCCCAGAGTCCGCAGGGAGAACATAACACAAGGATTCTGACCTCCGGGGACAGCGCCATCAAAGCCAATCCAATCCCATAGACGTCGTCGATGGCGTTGTCTGCGGCTGTGTCGGAAATTTTATGTTTCCTGCAACTGCTCTTGGCACATTGCACTGTGGGAAAGGACCCTTTATATAATTTTCACATTTAAGAAAAGTTTTAAGAGCATTTTATTAATTTAAAAATATAAAAAATTTATGATCCTAGCTTAAAGAGGTTTTTACCAAGTTTATCAAAAAGGCTCTTTGCTAAAATATCATTCTAATTTAATATGGCATTCAAGTGATAAATGTTTAATTATGAAAAACATATTTTTTTTATTTTATTATAAAATATTTGGGTTGAAAACTATATAGAAGAATAAAATACATAATTAAGATAGCATTTCTTAAAACATACGGATATATATTAATTTATTTTTTAAATTCTTTGATTAAACTTACATGAATTAAATATTGGTTGCAATTTGATTTTTGGTTATCTCTATTTAATTTAGGATAAATTCATTTTATGTGAGCATAAGTAATTTTACATTCCCAAAATTTATGAATTTTAAACAAGCAGCTTGAATGATTTTTGTAAAGATACTTTGCCTTCCATAGTCCTCGCTGGCCTGCATTGTTTTATTGTCGCTGTCGGCTACTTCGTTCATTATTTCGACACTTGATGCCGGTTCCCTGTTCCCGTCTGCGGATGCCCAGCTTACAGGCGATGTTCTGTGGTCATGTTTGTGAAAATTACAGGAAATTATTGAAGACAGGCGCTGCTGTCTGGAAAGGCAGAAAAAGGAAAGGAACAGAAAGGAAAAGTGGGTAAAGTTACACAATTAGGAGGAGCTCGTCACGTAGCGTCAGACATTTTAAGGAATTCTGTCTCGTAAAGTGTGGCAATTTTAACAGCTTTATACAGCTGCAGTTAATAACTTCGATTGGAGTGGCAGAGAGACCCAGGCGAAAGCGTTTTATGAACGGCAGTCCCTTTACCATTTTGCACAATTTCGCCAGCAACATTTTCTTGGGTCTAGCGAGGGAATAAAAAATATTTCACTGTTATTTGCCATAAATGAATATAACGTCCGAGCTGTAATCAAGACCATCTGCTGACAATGGTCTGCCCATTTTTTCTTCGGTCTGCCCTTCGCTCTTTATTCGCCTTGATTTTTTTTGCTTTCTGGGTTTTCGGATGCTTTGCAGATTTTGTTTCGTTGCTCCAAACTTATTATTGCGATTTTCTGGGTGTGGTGGTGGGGGTTGTGCTGGGCGAAAATGACCCACGTTAATGTCCGCGCACCACAATCAAGAAAAGATGGGATAAACGGCGGGGGAAGTCATTAAAACATTGCTCTCTGCCATTTACAACTTGCAGTTTTTCAAGGAAATCGCTTAGCATTAATTTGATTACGATTTGAGGCATTAAAGTCGCACTCTTTGCCTAGCAAAATGTACTATAAATGCTGATGTGTGATAATAAAATATTGATGGGGGTATTAGGCAAGGTCATAACCGGATGATTATGAATTGCGGATAGCCCAGCTAATTTGTATGGAATTATTGGGAACTCAGCAATTTGTGCAGATATTCGAAAGAATATTTATGTTTGTGGGTATTAAAAAATGGTTTATTTTCCGCATTAAATCTATCTTAAAGTTTAAAATCTCTCCCTAATCGTATGAGCCATAGGCACTCCCCCCAAAAATGTTGCCAACATTTGCCTGAACAAGGAGCCCAAATCTAAATCGCTTTAAGCCGTATCCTCTCGGGCTCCAACTCCTTTTCAGAAACACCTTGGGAAAGATTAATTTGCAATTTATTTGCTTTAATGCCAGCCGTGGAGGGTGAAATCAGAAGACACGGCAACACTTTCAGGACCTCGCTCCCTGGCCCAAATACATATTTTTCATTTCCAGCTCCGTAGAGTTTAGGCCAATGCAAAAGCAATTTACAAATTGAATTTATTCCCGTGTAGCTGAAAATATGTTTATGGCAATTTATATCTGTGTCCCACTCGGCAACTGCCCCCGGATTCCTTCATAATTGCCCCGTCTGTGTTCCTGGCCCTGCTAAAACTGAAATTAATGTCAACTAAGCAGCAATTTGCGTACCAACTGTAAATTCTGAGTGTCTTCTAAATGAATTATGCCGCTGCGAATGCTGCTGCTATATAAGTTATTTTCGTAATGGTAATTTCGTTGAATTAAAATGTCGTTTTGGTGCTGATCAGGAAATTATAAATACATTTTCAGTGTTTATTTGCAGCTGTTGATTGTAAAATTATAATATTCATGTCTTTATAGGGGAAGGAAAATACCAAAAAATATTTGATATTAAAGTAAATTAAAGTAAATTTACAGTTTAAAACTTCTTTATTCGTTCTTTAGAATTATGTAAAAAGTAGTTTACAAATAGTTACAAACCAAATTTCATGCGAAGAGGTTATTATTTTAAATATTTTACATTGAACTGCTGCCAGCAGGAATTATTTTTTCAATGCTTCCCAACAATAGCAAAGTTGTAAATGTCCTGAAAAAAATGCAATGTGCTTTCCACAAAATATCCCTGTCTCGACAAGAGCAGCTGAAAACATACACAACAATCGATGGTGGCCTTTAAAACTTTGCCGGAAATGAATTAGTTTGTCACCAGTTTACGATCCCCACTCCCGACCCAAAGAAATGTCATAAAATCATATAAATTTCATTTCACAATTTCCGCATGCAATTTGGCGTGCCACAAATGCGGCCCACACAATGCGGCATTCCAGTTTTATACCCACTCGGAACTCAGAACTCGGAGCCCGATGTTCATGTTACCTTGCAATGCTCTCATTGTTTTTTACCCTTTCAATTTGGTTTATTTTTGCCTTCTTTTTGCAGCGCCATGGCCGATGGCATCCTCACCGACAACCCGCACTTGGTGCTCCTGTTCTACATGGCCCAGTTGTTCCTACGTGAACTTGTGAAAAGTTATCGTCTCATACAAGTCGTGCCAATGGATATGTCCGGCTATTATGGTAAGTTTAATGCAACACCCACGCACTATTCCACATTTCCACCCAGCCAACTGGGACCATGTTTCAGCTGTCGCCACTCCGATTGCGGGTCATTGCGAATTTGCAGTCGCCAGCAAATGTCAAAGTCAGCGAAGGACTTTGGCAAATCGAGTTCGGTTTCGGTGCACATAATTTGTTTAAAGTGTGCAAAGGCATTCCTATTGCATTATATAGTCGTTATTAAATTTACTATGTGTAACAACTCACATAATAAGTTAACCAGGAACTGCAAATAACGAGTAATTGGAGGCCTTTATTTTTAAAGTCGTAATAACATTTTTTCATTTTCGTTTTTTCATTTTTTCGTTTACCATTTCGACTGATTTGTATGTGCTTTGTACAAAAAAATGATGATGAAATTTATTATAAGCAGAAGTCTCAAATGAATTTAATTTTCTTTCCTGAAAATAAACAAATAAATAAAAAAGGCACATTTAAAAATATATTAGTTAAGAAAAGATTTTTATAATGTAATTGCAATTACTTTAAATTAAAATTTTTAACGTCTCGAAACTTTAATGACATTGCTGCACAACTATTTCCCTGCATTCCGAGTTGGTTCTAACGAGGATATCCTTTCTTTGACATTGCCATTCAGAGCAGCATTCCCTCACTCAAAAGCAGACACTCGGTGCACGTTCAACAATTGTTTGGCATACTCCCAGGGACTGCAGTTGCGATTCTGATTCGGATTCAGACTGTGATTGCCATTCTTTAGCCATGTTTAATGTGCACGTGCGAGCGCAAAAATATGCAGAGCCAAACTTCGAACTGATTTGTCGCCAGGCTGACCATGGAAAATGCCGTCGAATACAAATGGGAACGCAAATGCCAAATGCCAATTGCTGATCATAAATTTTTAAATTACAACCACTGTGCTGGCACTGGTTTTTCCACTGTCAACGCGCCCGGAAAATTTGCTTGGAATGGGGAGTAAATATTTACAGAGCCACAGAGCCAGAGTTTCTGGCTTTGGGCCTTTGGATGCAGCAAATTTACAACGCACCCGCATTTTCCCCAGCATGGAAACAAACAAATATCTGCAGTGCCATGAAAACGCCATCAACGCAGAATAAGCAATAAAAAATTCAAAAATTGCAGGCAATTTTTTTTTCTGTGTTTGGCTGTTATAATTGCAAACCAAAATATACGAAAAATTGACAGGGCAGAGATAGTATGTAGTATGTGATGATGGAATGGGCCGAAGCGATGACAGCTTTATGCGGACCTTTAATTATTGCCATGCTGGCGAAAATTCATTGCCTTCCAGGGTTTAAGCAAAAGAACTACTCGGTTTGGGGCTAGGACTATGGAGTACCCTCTAGGTAGATAAAATAAATAATAAAAATAATACCCAAATAAGGAAAATGGTAATTTAAGCAATAGGTATCTATAGATAGTGCAAAAAGGTTTTCATAAATTAATTCACAAATGTCTTATGCTCTTTTTAAAACCAATATACCCTCAAACCCCGCTGATACCCTGTAGAAAAATGGCAAACGTTGAATGCTGGTCATGCATGTTCGCATACGCGATGAAATATGAATATTGCGCATACGCCGCATTGGACGATCGAATAGATTGCAATTCATTGGGGCATGCAGCTCAGAAAGTTTTACTAAGTAATTAATTTGACTATGGCTGATGAAAACTGATGGGCGATCGGAAATTGATTGCAGCATCAATCAATCAAAGGACCGGTATCAGCTAAGACACTAGTGAAATGTGGAAACATTAGGGCTTATGCTATCCACAAGATAACACAGCCGTATAATTGACAAAGTTATAATATATTTCGTTTTACTTTTAAATTTCTGATCATTAAATTAGGAAAAGTTGGGGCCAAAAAAAGTTCCGGCAGACATCAAAGCGCGGTAAAAATAAAACGCAAAAGCTAATGAAGCAGTAAGAGAACGGAAGTAAATAAAAAGCCGGGAATGCAAACGTCAAAGGAAAATGTTTGCATAAAAATGAATGGAACAAATAAATGTGGCTGCGGCCCAGTCAAACAAAATGGTTTATTTTATTGCCACGATGCGGAAATGTTGGCCGAAGAGCTTGACCGGGCTGCAGCTTGGCTTAGAGGCGGCTTATTACTTGACTCTGAATTATCCCCTGGCCTCTCTGTTTTTCGGTTTCTTGCAGAGAACCGAGCTGGGCCCTCGAACCTGGGCAATGTCATCAGCCAGATATTGTTGTGCAAACAGTTTACGCCCGACTTCAACGAGGAGGAATTATGCAGCATCACCAAAGACTCCCAGGACATCGCCGTGCTCCTTTCCGAGATGCAGGAGTACATGCCGCAGCACGAGGCGTACTTGGGTGAGTTTTGCTGTTCTGCTGCTCCGACTGCGCAGGCTCCCGGTTTCGGTTTTTGCCCATTGCCTCGGTGGCTCGACTGCAGTTCCATTGCCGTGCACTTTGGTATTTGGCCAAGGACCGTCGAGCAAACAAAATTGTATAGCCAACACAAAAAGGGCAAAGCTGCGCACAAAAAAAGGACAGGCTATTAAAGTCTATAGCTGCAGAGATTTAGTGTCATTTTTTTCTAAAAAAAAATTAATTACCATTAAAGTGTTTTGAATAATAGGGAAATGATTTATAAATCAATTAAATCAAAAAATAAATAGATTTAGATAAAAAACTCCAATTTTTTTTTAAATTTTTTCTTAAATTTATAGTTGAAATGGCAAGTTTTATTAAGTAAGCTTACAGAGCTTTTTCTCTTTGTAACATATAATTAAAAAACAATTACAGATTTATTGAGTGTTGGATAAAAATCTTTACATATAATTTTCAGTGTAATTTTTTTTTGGAAAAATAAAGGATTGTTAAAAGTGTTAATAAATATTCCAAGAGATCTTAATGAAAATCTACATTCATTTAAATTGATTTTTGTATTATTTGTATTATTTATTAAACACGTTCACTGATTATTTCCAGTGTCCTCTGCCCACACTTTCCTTTTTCCGCCGAACTCATTAATTAATCAAGCCAATTGTTTGCTCTTTCATGTGGTGTTTGCAGAACGAAACGCGGCCCTGGACACAACTGGACCTTGGCAGGCCAAGAGGCGCCAGAACTACATCTGCAAGAACATGAGCCTCCTCTGCTGCGTATCCAGGCCCAACTATCTCTGAGAGCAGGCCGATAGTGTGTAGTCCGAGCTGAGCTAAGCCCCCGACAATGTGACCATCTCCGCACTCAACCACTACTTATATCAATTACTAGCGCCTAAGTTGAGCCTGCAAACCCGTAGAGGAAATTCTAGATCTTAAGCCGAGGAGCGGAACACTCAATTAGCATTGTAACATAATCAAAGGTCAATGCATTGACAGCCATTGCAATGGCTGGGCCAGGAGGGCATTGGATGGTTCTACTCCTCCCAGAGACATGTGTATAATCAAAGTTAATTATGCTGCATAAACAATATTAATGTAAAACCAATTACACAGTACGGATATGGATATCTACTATATAGACACCGATATAGAGACGTTTAACTAATGGAACGAAGCCAGTTAAGACTTTTAGGTCATTAAAATGTATTCACTGTATAGACCCAAGCAAAAACCAACACACACACATCGTAAATTATCTGAAAATGGTATAACACCTGAGTTAACATTAAGATTAGAGGCTGGGCCAAGGGATAGAGTAGGGTGCTGGGAGCAAATGGCAGTTTAGTGGTAGTTCAAAACGATATAGCCTTCGTAATTAAGTTGAAAGCCTGGCCAGGCAAGTGCTAAACAGAAGCAATAACAATCGTGTTACTCAAAAGCATAAATATATATACATATATCTAACCGAAAGGAAGTGTAATTGAAGTGTCTCTAGGTTTCCGTTTGTTCATTTCACGGTTTTCAAAGTGAACTCTGCACAGTACCTAAAATCAGAACAAATAATCGAGCAACAAACGAGCAACGTGTGACCAATGAAAATACAAATAAACCAAATCAATCTGTTTAAAAAACATGGTTTAATAGCAAATCAATATCCCATTCTCAAATGGTAATATTAAAAATTCAGTGAATGTTGGAGGCAACAAAGAATTTCAATCAGCAAGTGGATATTTATTTCAGCACAAGGGATTCATTTCAAATAATAGTTGGATCTAATCACAATAATAATAATAAATATTTTTATTTAATAAATGAGACCAAAAATTTAACAATTAAATTATTAAAGTTAGCATTTATACTCCTCCCATTTAAAATTCTTATTTGCCCATGGGGTCGAATATTGCATGTAAAATGAAGCAATTGTTGGCAAACAAATTTATTGCACCGCCAAAATGAATAATTATGTGCTTATTGTGTTTTCGGTTCCATTGAAATCGCATTAAAATTGCACAAATTTTATTTTTACAAATTAAAATATGCTTTTAAACGGCTGCTGCCAAGCATATGGAAAATTCATAAGTTGGTTGGGTTCGAAAGCAAAAACAACTTTTCCATTCAATGCATTTTTCATTCGGAGTGCGCATACTTTTGGCCATTGGTTGCGGGTATGTGTTGCATATTTAATGGCAATTAATTGAAGAATATTTTTTTTGTTTGCCAATTAAACTGGCAGGAAGTGAGCAGAACACTTGTTTAACGTTGTAAATCAATTTGTTGTGCCAACAAGTAAGTGCTGATCAACTATGCTTGGGCTCTCAACAATTGTTGGACCGCTGAAATGACAATGAAAATGTAAAAACTCTGTTAGAATGTCCGAAACACAATGGGTCAAGTAGCTGAGAAAAGCAAATATTTGTACATACTTGGAACCCAATAGAAAATACATATATATATATATAAACAGAGTCTCTCATTGATATTAAAAATGTAGTACAGATTATTTACTAATTTTTATTTACTTATTCGATTCTAGGCATAAATCAAACACCAAACAAATTTACACGTCTCTAGAGAAGTTAGTTCTAAAATAGAACGTTTATGATATTGATAATTATTTACCTGTATATGAATGTATATTGCTTAGATCGTTTAAATAGGTATTCCAGCAACAAGCCGTGATTGTTATATGATATTCATATAAGAATAATCTGAATGTATTTATTAAATGTTTGTTCATGTTGTTCGAAACTAAAGGCCACTGAGAAGTAACTCAAAAACTCACACACTAGCAACAAGAAACTAAAGCCGAAAAACCGAAACTAATTACCAAACTGGGTACCAATCAAATATGAATAAAGCTATTTTTAGAGAAACTAAAGCCAAGTCTTGGGTTTATTTCGTGTTCTCGGAGGCTTAATGCTTTGGAAAGGGGCCAAGAGCGTAACTCTGAATTTATTACACTTCATAAAAGAGCGATTAATGTTTATAGATGTGATTTTATCACGAACACCCGGGCAACGAAATATATGTATGTTGGAGCACATAAAGGTGGAAGATGGCTGCCGATTGAAACGTCGAAGGGTTGATACCTTGGAAAAATATTCAGATGAATAAGAACACCACTTAAGGAGTTAAAAATAATTTTATTTTACTAAAGAGAATATTTTAAAAAATAATAAAAGGTTATTCAAATTTCGAAAATTGACTTAAAAATAGTTGGACATCTCCTGGTCGTATATACTCCCATTTATACCCCTTATAACCCTGCTGAATAAAATGGTTCAGCTTTAAGCACTTCGGGAGGTGCCGTTTTACGTGCCAAGACATCGAGGACAAGCCAACGTGTTCGACAATAGATACGTCTTAATCAATCTTTACCTGATGCCAAGTGGCAAGGTGGCAGCATCGCAAAACCCCGTCACCTTGTTTATTTTAAACGCACTGTTTGACGGCGAAAAGGTTCTAGCTTATCGAAGAGCTAGCGGGACGAACGTGGCTTAAAAGTTGCAGCCACGACTGAGGCCCAATGCAAATTGCATGGTCACGTAGAAGTCTATGTAAATTAGTTGAAAAAGTTACGCCAGCGATTGCCTTTTGATGTGGGGAAAATCTGGGATCCCAGGGGGTAGGTGCTGAAGCTGAAGCCTTTTGCGAATACGTGCCGTTTTGGCCAAAACGCTTCATTTACCGCACACACACACGCACTTGGACACCTTGCTCGATGGCATTGGCTGTGGTTTTGGCCCAGCTTTCCCACTCTCTCCTTTCTCCTTTCCCGATTGCGGCCATAGCGGGCTTATCCTCCAGTCAGACGTGAGGTGTTAATAGATTTACGTGGCGCCCGTGCGGCATGGGCCTTCTGGTTGAGCAATGTACATGTACTCCTTGCCACGTTTAAGTGCGTACTCCATCAGGTGCAGTGGGAAAAAGTGCGATTACAGTCCGGGTTTAAGGCATGAATTTACCCAAAGAAGAAATAATTACTTTTACTTTTTAAGATACATAAAGATTTTGATATATTACTACAGACTGCCTCGTGGTCATAGCATTTTTACTCTGCCGGAGCTCTGCCGATACACACACAGTGTAGCCAGAGAACAAGACTGACCTAAGCTATAAGTTTAATTTATTAATGACTAACTTAATAATCAGTAAATTTGATTAGACTTATTATCTTAATTTTTTTTTATTAATTGTAGCTTTGAAATATTTGATATTTAAATTAATTAATTAATTATTATTTTCTCTGCGTGTAAACTGCTAAATGACAATGGGGCACGCATGCCGTGGCTGTGGCAGCACTCGCGGCTCATTATGCTCCGCAATGAAGTGAAAATAAAAAATATAAAGGGCCAAACAAAAATTTGCAATTCAAAGTAAACAGAAAGCGGGCAAAACAGCAGCGAAAAGTTAAAACATCGAGCAGAGGCTGGCGTCAAAAGTTGGCTAAGCAGAACGGAAGTTGACATTATTTTTATTCTCCCTCGTTTGTTTTTTGTGTGTTTGTTTGTGTGTGTTTGTTTCTTTTGATGTGTGTGTTTCAGGGTCTCCGAAAAAAGCGGAATGGAGTTGAGTGGCCAGCAAACAAGTTGCCACTGCCACAGGATATCCCAACATCCCAACTCCCACTGTGTATTTATTCGTGTATGTGGGTCTGGCTGCGTCAAAGCCAAAATAAATGCCAACAAGGATAATTCTGGGGTAATCCGATTTAGTGCGTTGCCCGCTGCTGGTTCTCTGCAGAGGATCCCTGGCTCACACACAAAAAACCCTCTTGATTATGTGCCGCTGCCCCGGACTCCTGATGTCCCCACTTTCGTTGCTCTCTATAACGCTGTCCTGGCCAATGTCCTGGGCACTTACTAGCCAGCTGATGCTGGTTAGATGGCCTGCGGATTCCACTGGATACAGTGGGGATGGTCAATGTAGCTGGCTAGCCCTTTATTGAGATTTAATAGCTTTACAGGAAATAAATTAAATTTTATGGGAACAAAGTAGTTCGCTTGCTGTTTTTGCAACATTTCTTGCAAAGTAAACTTTAAACGGTTTTTCTGTTGATATTTTAGTTGGATATATTAATGGATTTTTCATATTCCCCCTTTACTGATTTTTAAAAATTAATAGAAAATATTTGAATTTTGTTCCACTGTTCGACCCTCTGTGCTTTTGTTCTGTGTGTTGGCTTTTGCAGCGCAGACCTGACTTTTTAATGTTGTTTGATGCGTTTCGTGGTCGGTGAATTTTGTTTGGGTCCCAAAATGTTGTTTTACCCCCTCCCACCCTTTTGCAGTGTTTTTGTGGCGTAGTCGAAAAAAATTAAAAACATAATTTTCATGTTGCCGCACGCATTATTGCTGCCTTTTGCATAATTGAATAACGTAGTCGGGCGGAATGATAATATCGAACGGTGGGTGGTTAGGGGCTGAGTCTGCGGCTTTTGTGTGTCCCCTACCAACTGCGGTCTTTAAGACAAAACGCCGGGGCTATTGTACAAATAAGCACGGCCGAAATCCAAAATCCGTCTCAGACGGAGGCAATTGCTCTTGGTCTTCGTCTTGGCCCTCTTCCAAATGAGAATGGAAATCGAGCGCTGACCTCGAGTCGTTTTGTTTAGTCGCCAACTTATCAGATGCCCTGTTTTTGGAGGACTTTGTCCTTAAAGTCTCCCAGACTTCCAGACAAAGTCTTAAATTTAACAAGCTCGTGCTTGAGGCAGTGGATAGGGGGCTATATACCTACTTCCGTAAGTACTTAAACGGCACACGTGGCGTATGCGCAATAAAACGATAGCGATAGCTAATCATTGAAGTACATTGATTACGCAAAGTCTTAAAGCCATTAATTAAAGACCACGTTTCGCAGAGCAAACTCAAGTATTTCGATTTTATTTCCTTCTGGGCATCCATCCTCCTTTTTCATCACAAAGCCAAAACCACTTCGCATTGCTGGGGCACAAATGTTTTAGCTTCGTTCTGCTTTTTCGCTTAGAAATGCACAAAGGAATTTCAGCACAAAGTGGGCGAATGTTTGGTTCGCGATGCCTGTTAAAAATGCATTCGTGCTGCTTTCCTTTTTTTTTTGTGTGCGAATTGCATGCGATAAACTTTATAATTCAATTGTGGCTCTCCAAGTCGTATGTCGTGTCGAAGTCAAAGAACAGCACACACATCGTGCTGTTGGTTTGTAATTTTAAAACTGAATTACAGCACTTGTGGCTTAACCGCAAAACCACCGACTTAATTCAGCCGGTTAGTGGTGCTGCGCAGAGTTTTCCATGCTTTTTTGGTGCACACTATACGTTACTTATTTTTACTTTCCACCTGACAACTTTAATACAGCTCCAAGTGAGGGTGTCAGAGCCTCATTAGTATGCCAATTGTAATTAAACCGTAGAATGTCCTTTCACGCTCCTGTCAATCGAGTGACCCTGTCCATGTGACAACCTTCAAGGGGGCTTTCCCCCGTTTTGGACGGATTAGTGGTGAGTTGGTTGTACTGTCGATTGGGTAACTAATTTGCAGTTAATTGGCTACTTAAGAAAGTAAATTCGACGGCTACCAGATATAATGGATGACACAAAATTCGTCGTACTTCGCTGAGAACTTCCACTTAATTATTTACAACATTTAGGCCGAATTTTAAACGAAAGAGTTTCCGTGTCCCCAAATATAATATTCCCAATTTCCGTTAGGATCTCTTTAAATTACACATTTGCAGCAGTTAGCTCCTGAAGAGTAATACTCAGCTTTTAGTCTAGACAAGCTGAAGGTTTGTGTTCGAATAACTGGTTCGTGTCTTGACTTTTGTCCTTGTAGAATAAGGACGTAAAAGGACGAAAAAATTAAGCTTTTAATTTCAGAAAGAGCCGCTAGAGGGAGTTTTTTATTTGGCGCCAATTTAAATGATTAGTCGGCTAAGAAAAAATCAAAAGTTTAATATCTCAAATGTCTAGTTATCACTTACAGAGTGGTTTAAAAAATTAAACATAGGCTAATATTAGTTTATTATTGTTTAAGTAGAACACAAAGTTCGTAAACAACTCAGAAAAAAAACAAATAAAGGAACATAAATAATTTCGGGTTCAAACAGTTGGTAAATTATTAACATTGGAAATGCGAGGTTTTTTATCTGGGCTATTAGTTTGAGAAGCTGCGAAGACATGACATCCGAAGATTCGTATCGGATCTGAGTACTGAAATACAAAATCATGGCAAGTGGGGCATTTATAGTAATCTCTTAAATATGTCGTGATGCAGCTTTCCCCAAAAAGATGACCGCACGTCAGAGTGACGAGGCGATGGTCGCCATCCGCATTCCAGGGCATTAGACAAATGCAGCAAAGGTTCCCATCCTCGATTTCCTGCAACTTCTTTTTCAGCTGGTGCACCTCTTCGACCAGTGAACGGTGCTCCGCCTCCCGGAGATCAAAGATGGCCTGATTGGACTGCTCCTGCTCTGCGATTTGTTGACGCAGTGCCTCATTCTTGGCCAACTCATTTTGCAGTTGCTGCAGTAGACCATCGCGCTCATTGGGAACTTCCAGTGGCCAGTCCGTGGTAAGCATAGTAATATAATCCTCGGAATTTGACTCTTCTCCCATAGTTTTTAGATAAAGTTCTAACAAATTACAAATAATACAACCGACCTTGGAGAGTATGTGTAAAATATTGCTGTAAAAGTTACGCCTACTTGAACAAAAATAATGAATACATTTTTTTAAACCAAGTTTTTAAGCTTATAATTTTGATTTGATTACATTTCTTCATAAATAATTGACTAAATTAAGTAAATGGGTTAAAAATCAATATATTTGCCAGTGTAAAAGGAGTACGTTTAAAGCTTTCGAACTAAACTACTTTTTGGCCTTTCGACTAGCACATTTGGAATCATATTTCGATGGGCGTTAGCATTCGCACGTCTGGCCACTCGGTGCTCCTCATATTTGCATGGCTCACTTCAGGTGCACCTGCTACCCCGAATAAGCAGTACATCCTGCGGCCGTAAAAGCAAATACACCTAAGTTCAAACACCTGCTAAAGTTCAAAACATCAACGGCAACGGGAACCGCAACAAGCAAACAAATGAGGGTCAAACTGCGAAAAAAGGAGAAACATTCTGCCCACAGAGCTCAACACGGGCACATGCTAGCTGGCACAATTCAATGCGGCACATTAACCCTCCCCTCCCTTCCATGAGTTTCCTATTCCTGTTCCTGATCCCCTTTCAATTAGGGGCGGCTGAAAAGCGGAGAAACTAGATGAACTTTGACCATTCAACACGTCCATTTCCATTCGCAATGAGAGCATGGGCGGTGCAAAAGGGTATTACATTTTAGAATCTGCTGTTCTAAGGATTATTTGCGCTTTTGTCGACCTATAAATTAATATTCCGTAATCTGAATCATCTTAATATTAAAAAGTATTATAATGTTGATCCCCCTTCCAGCACACCCCTGATTAACTCGTTTTTTATGAGCTGGCCAACAGGAAGACTGGAAGTTGCTCGTAATTCTGTTTCCGCTTGATTTACAAATATTTGCATGGCAAAACATTTTTCAACAATTTTGCGGGCAAGCGGGTGGAATAAAAAATCGGCTGCAATACAAATACCAAAATAGAACAAAAAATCTTCAACGAAAATTGCAAGGAAATGCAAAACTGGCAAAGTTGTTGAAATGTTTCTAGCAAACTATTTTTGTGGCCAGTTGAGTCTGATGAGTATAAACCAATGGGTTTGTTGCCTTCGAACTGGTATTGGAAAAGTTAAACGGCATAATTGGTGGGTGCAACAAGTAAAATTGTGCAGGAATATAATTTAAACAGCAGATGGTTTCCTTTTATGTAAATTAGTTGAGAAATTTGTATTTGATGTAAGGAAACACTTTTTTATCATTTTATTGTGATTATTATAATGCCCAGAAAATATCTAATTAATTTGTATTGATTTTTAAATAACTTAAAACTATAAAAACTATATAATTTTGTATTTCTACTACTAAAAGCGAATAATTTATTGACTGCTGCTTTTTTTCCGTAGCCAATTTGTCCATAAAATGTGTCTCAAGTTGTCTTTCATTCCATTGTTGTCATTTGCTTAGTTTACTTTATAGTTTGTTTCCACTCGTTCTGTCGTTTCTGTTTGTTTATTTACTCTATTCTTTCCCGTGCAGAAAAGCACCCTTCCTTTACTATTTGTTTGACTTCCTGGCGGCAGAAGTAGTAGTAGTCTTTATGAGCCGTCTTTATGCGTTCGTCTGCTTGACGGGGGGCCAAAGTTCAGCCAAGTTTTGCAATTTGCATGTCAGTCTGGCAAAAGACTTTCGAGGATCATTAATAATCAGCTGCTGCCTGTTGCTCCACCTGCACTCGTCTCTTTTTTGACGGAGGGGTTTGGCATTAATCACGGGCAAATTTCGACGCTCGTTTGATGGCAACAAATCTTGCGCAAATTTACGCAAACATTGGCGCCTGGCAGATCCCAAAAATCGGGGACCCCGAGTGGCTGCCATCCGGCTGCAGCTGCTCATTATGTGCGCCAGTTGCTACCCGGTTCCAGCACACAAATCTCCCCAAAGTAATTTACTGGCAACTGCGCAAAGTGCACTCTGCTATTTTTCAAATCCAGAACGACCAGAGCCAGACGACAGGATCTGGGATTCCCGGATTCCGGATCCGCTGACTTCTGGCTTCGAGTTGAAATTGAAATTGAATTGCGATTGATATTGATTGGCTGCGTGCTTGAGCGACAACTCGGCCAAATCATGTGCAGCCAAGCCAGGATTTCCCTGGTAACTTTCGCTTATTGTTGTTTCGCCATCTCTCCATCCCGGCCCCGAAAACATATATCCAACCCATCCAGATCCTCGGCGAACTTCGGGGCTTGACTTGCCTTTTTCGAGTGCGGACTGGCTCGAAATCGAATTTCGAGTCCCTTAGCTCCCTGGATATTCAACTATAAGTTGTGTATTGTTTAGTCAAGTGCAGCTGTTCGTGCAGCTTGTTTATGTGCTGTCTAAATAGGGCTCGGATGGAGCCATGAGTGCGCAACTTAAATGGAAGCTCGAAAATAAGTAATTTAATACTGGGCAAGTGGAGTTTGTCAAATTAACTGGGAAAAAAAGCCTTGCACTAAAACTAGAGAAAACTTTTTTGGAGTTATTTTTTAAATTTTTTTAAATTAATTTTAGGTGGAAAAAATATAAATTAAATGTTTAAGCTTTCAATTAAATTTCAAATATTAAGAAATTTGAGGTAACTCTTATTTCTCAATCCTTGATACAGATTACCCCAGGTTCTTAGCTGTACCTTAATTCACCAACTGACTACTGGCCGACTTGTAAATTTGCACTAATTAAAGCGAACAAATCGGAGCCAGCACAGTGTGGCCAAATGCGGAAGCAATCAAACAAACGCAGTAACAGGGATTGCATTAGGATGCATACAAAAGCACTCCAGGACACCGGGGGACCACAGAAGGTGGCCGGGCAAACAGGTGACAGGCGGGCAGGAGCAGCACTTTCAGCCACAAAGAGCTGAGTGCTCGGGATTGGAAGGGGAGCCAAGGAAGAAGCAGGAGGTGGAGCAACAAAGGCAGTTCCTGCCAGGACAACGATGGAAACAGGAAATCCTGGCGACACTAAAAATATTTTCTACCAAATTTACAATATGAAGTGGCTGGCTTGAGCTTGCTGCCAAAGGTGCTTGCCTCTGTATGTAATATGTATAGTTTAGTATCGTGTGTGCTGCCACAGCATTCGCATAAACCAACACACAGCCTCACATTCTCCTGCTGCACTGTATGTATGTTGCACTTCATTGCGTTGACAGAAACAAACGTGGCACCAATGGGACTTCTCCTTCGGAACTCAGAACTCCCCCCTTCAAAACTCCATCTGTTGCTGAGTGCATTTCGAACATAATTTTCAATTTTCATGCATGTTTTGCCATTTGCTCGAGGAGTGCAAAATTGTTTCTCTGTGACATTTTTTGATTTGCTTAATGGTCGCTTGGTGATTCAGCACATGGGCATATGGACATTTTATTTAAATCCCTTTTAGTTGGCAAACACTCTGCATTCGTTGATATTTGAGTATCAATAAAAGTTTTAGAGTGCATGTCTTTACTCAATTTCAAAATAGTTTTTTAATATTTTTTTTTATTTATCTTTTTAAAATAAATAATCACATGCATAGTACGAGTAAAACCTTTTTAATAAAAACGTTATTTCTGGCAGCCTGTTGGGAAATATATTTTTGATGGAATTTTTCTCTTTCTGTTTAAGTCAATATGAAAAAAAACTTGTTTAGTAGGAATATATTATTTTTTGAATTTGAATATTTGAATTTCTTTTTCCACCCTTTAAAAAAAGAGATTAAATCCATAACACGCCATTTTTTATTTGTACACCCTCTGCTTTAAAATGCTTGCCATCAAGGGCTTTATGAAATTTAAGCTGTTTATGCTTAATTAGTTTTATATTAGCAACATATGCTGCGTTTTGTAATGTTGTTAAACTCACTTGACTAAACGATTTAAATTGCTCCCTGTGAGCTTCGTCCATAACATTTGATATGCGCTTTGAGACAAAGGCCAAAAACCGCTTAAAATGTGCGCAGGGTCGCACAAAAAGCCCGAAAAGCCGTGTTAAAGTTGCAGCCGAAAAAGCAGGTCAACAATGGGGGAATTGTACTGGTTTCGCTTTGGGCTTGGATTTGGGATTGGGCCCTCTTCTGGTCCAGGTCCTAGTCCTTGTCCTCTTTCGGACGGACTTGGTTCCACAGGCAGCATAATTAATTGCGGTAATTAGTGTGTTGGCAACAAACAGCAAACACACGAAAACATTCAGCAAAACACAGCAAGTGAAGCCAGCAGAAAAAGGGGAATTTCGAGGGGGCACCGATGCATTTACTTTATAGAAGATTTGTGGGCTCCGCCAGCACTGGCATATTAGTTGGTTTCGCGGAGCAACTTTTATTTACGATCTATATATATCTCGACTCTTGAGTCTGGCGACTGTTGAAAGGCCGCCGGCGCTAATTTAGTTGGCCGCCTCGGCATTTCTGTGGCATCATTAGAAAGCGGAAAATGATTTTTATTGCTAAGCAAACGGAAAAGGCAAACGGCGAAAGGCAGGGACAAGTAAATACTTCAAGCAAATCTCGGTAGCTAATAAGTCGGAGTAAAAGGAGCTGAGTTTTATGGAAGGGATACAGATATAATAACCCCGGGGGTCCCTGTTCCTTCAGCTTGCTTCCTCTTTGCTGCTCGCTTTAATTGGTCACTTGGCGAGCACAGAAGAACAATTTAATTTTCGCCATTTTCTTATTATCTCCGTCTGTGGAAAGCGCGTCTTCTCCTCATCTCATCTCAGCTCTACTCTACTTTATGTAATTAAGGGCCAAAGGGGCGTGGCCGGCGTCTGTTGTGTGTTATTACCACCGCAGTCATTAAATCTTTTGTGTGTAATTAAAAAATTACAATTTAATGCTTTGCGCTCATTTATTGACACGGCGTGCGGTCGGTGCAAAGGCATTCACATTCGCCCCGTGGGCAAGCGACTTCAACGAGCGGAAAATCGCGGAAAACCAAGTGGAGAAAATGTGGAGCATTCCGGAAGAGGGGCAGGGGGTGGAGGGAGAGGGGAGGGGGATAATGAAGCACTGATGGAATTCCTAATGATGCAAGCCAGCCCGACTACAAAACGTGTTAAGTGTGTATTTATGGCTAGGTAAATGTTGTTAAATCTTTGTATTGCCATCGGCTTGGCTTGCCTTTGTTAATGCTGATTACTTGGTAATGGAAAAGGATTTATTTAGCCAGTCGAAGACCGCTAACATGTCTTCATCAACATCGAACTGTGAAGGAAAGCTGAATTTAAATTTTATTGCAAGGGATTACACGTAATGAACTTATTTTAAGGGCATTCAAATTGAGAACTTTAATTTATTTTGGGAAATATATTTTTAAAATATACAAACCGTTGTACCTGATAATTTTAATTTAAATAATTGCATTTTTTTATAACTTAACAGATTAATTTCACTAATTAACTTTATTAATATAAATAAAAATACTTTAATTGAAGCCCCCACTTTGGCTTTGTTGGCAAAAACAGCACAATGCTTGATTTCAATTTAAAGCCTGACCCCCAAGAGTGCTGTGAAAAATGTTGAGTGCTGGACTTTCCGATAAGCCAAATAAAAAAGAAACAGATATGTGCAAAAAGAGGAAAGCTCGACGCTGACATGGAAATTGCATTGCCCCCCATCGAGATGGTTGGCGAATGGCTCCGAGAGGATTTCGCCTGAGGCTTTGGGAAAAATAAACTGGGGCCAAGCGTTGATTTGCTCTAAAAGCCCGTGCGAAACTGACCCACTTGCCGGTGGTTCGGTGGTTCCGTGGTTGCAAGGCTGAAAATAGCCAAATGCTGTTTTTCCAGAACATTTTAAATTTTTTCTTGATTTTTGGTTCAGCTGTCGTGACTCAAACTGTTGACCTAAAGTGTTGATATTCAGAGCTGGTGGGCTCCATAAGCCAATGGCAAAATGCAGAAACCCTTTGAACTCACGCTATGCCGAACAATTTGATGCACGGAGAAATGATTTCTACCCCCTTTTGAAATTAAAAAGGCGGGATGATTGTTTTGAACCGCGTCCGTTCTGTTTGCCCACTAAATAACGCCAACGTTCCCGGCTCATTGTGATGCGTATGGCGGATGGCAAATGCCAAATGTCATTGGTTTCGCTGATGAGAACGGGGCATCCATGTCTGTGCGTAGTCAGAAAAATATTTAACTCGCGGTCGGGCAATAAAAGTCACTACGCACAATATGGCACATGGCATCCGCAGAAGCAGACGCAACGCGTATCCGCATTCGCATCGAAATCCGACGTTTGGCATTCAACTGATTTATGCGGCTGTCAACGTACTGCTCCTATACCTACTCCTCTCCCCAGATAAATCTCCCCCAAAACGCATATGCGGGCCCTCAGTTGAGCCCCAGTTGACGTGGCTGATTGACAAACCGCACTCTTTGCCCAAATGAACAATTTGACATGAGGCCCACCGGTTGGGGAAACTCCAAGTGCAGGTTACGGTTAGGTTCAGGAACACAAAACAACATTTCCTTTGTTCTATGATACGACAAAGCGCAATTTTCCCTATCCGCTAATTTGAGTGTAAACTAATTTAAATATTGGAAAATAATATTTATTCAATATTACTCTTAATTTATAGATTTTATATATTCGCTCTTAAAATTGTTATAAATTTTACTTAAAATTGTATAAAAATAGAAATTTAGATGTTTCTTCCAAAATTTTCAACCACAAGCTATTTTTTTATGGGATCTTTTAAAGAATTGGTCTCTAGTAGGTGGAATTAGTCGGGAGTCATATTTTCTTTTAGTTTTCTGGACCTGACAATCTACTGATGTCGAGGTCGTTTGCAGTTCGCTCAATGGATTTTTATGTTCGTCATGGGGTAAAATGAACTGATCATCCTGAACTGATTTTCTATGACCGGATTTTGATTTAATTTCTTTGCCAGATATTTTTTTGTTCCTCTTTTTCGACTTACAAGATTTATTCTCCGAATCTTTGGTAAGGTTTTCTGGAATGGAGTTGACATACTTCAGCTGTTGGAGTGGAAGCCCCAGAACCCTGGCGACATACTCCCTACCCACCAGGCAAATCCCACCAGCTTTGTGATCGCAGCCACCGCACTGGCGATCCGCATGATGGAACTCAAAGGACAAGCCCAGGGAGCAGTTCTTTGGCTTGATCGTATTCCGCACATCGATTACACTGAAGGTGAGTATTTCCTGGAAGACGCCCAACTGTACGGCCTCTTCGATGGCGGCATCGGTGACCAGGAAGCAGCCCAGAGAACATCCCGAGCTGAGGTCCCTCACGTTTACGTGATAGAGATTGTCGGCTCTCAGGAAAATGGATATAACGATATCGGTGAGGCAACGATCGCCAATCAGGTCCATCAGCTGGCGGTGGAAAGAGTCTAGCTGGGTCAACCGCTTTCCTTGACAAAACTGGCAGGTGCTCGAGGGCTTCCTTTCCAGCTTTTTGCAGGCGGACTTCTTCTCGATGCACTTCTTCGTCAGCGACTGAACGTTGGCATTGAGGGAATCCACCTGGGTGCGAATGTCGGACAGTTCGTGACTCTGAAGACCCTCCAGCCGGCGATTCATTTCGCTCAACTGCTTGGTTATATCCGAAATGGCTGGGCAGTTGCTACATGGCGGGGGATTCATAGAGCAATGGGGCTTCTCTTCTATATGACAGTCCTTAGACTGATTTGTGCACTGGCATTTTGAATGAGTCGGCTCATTTGGTTTGCAATTCGAAACAGGACATGTTTTCTGATGTTCCACTGATGAATTTCCGTATTTTGGGGTAGGATTGTAAGGTTTCTCCAGAGGCTGAGATTTCGGTTGGCTTTTTTCTTTAGAATTCGGTGTAGTATCATTTTTGGAGTGATCCTGGGTAACTATTTTCGAATTTTGTTCATCTTGTGCCTTTTTGTACCGCCTGGTTCCCTCACCCGCGGGCACCACAATTATAGGTCTACTGCAGCATCTTCTAGCTGACTGATTTCTTATCCTCTGAGGTGGAGGATCTCTTGCCGTTTCTGCGGTACAATCTTTTTGGATTTCCTTAAATGATTCCTGACTGCAGCAAACGCCGATAATCGGCAAATGGCGTTTATCGGGATCCGTACATGGACAGTTCCGGAAGGGCGGATCAAAGTTGGGAATATCCTTGGCCACGGGCTGTTCGAAGGACACGCAGCTTTTGCGCTGATTCACAGGTGCATCACAGCATGTGGACTTAACGGGTTCCGGCTTTGAACTGCAGCTGCTTTCCGAATTTTTTGAAGATTTTTTATTACACGGGCTGGGAGATTCCACAGGTTTATTATTCGAGAGGCAATCAGCTTGTTTCGATGGCTTAGCGGCTTCGCAAGGAAGTTCCTTTTGCTGGTCACAACATTGAGAATTATTTTTTAGTTCCTGCGAGGATTTATCCGAGTCCTTGGCGGATCCACCAGCTGAGATGCGAGTGTGGTGGGCCTGCGAGATTCTAGAACTTCTGGAATGGAACCTTCTGTGTATGGAGTTTTGCACTCGAACCAGGGTTTTCATGTACCGCATGTATGCTCGATTAGAATCTGTGGATTACAATTACAAATTAATTATTGTTGCCAAATTATTTTTATAATTTTTCTTACCCTCGCTTGAACTAAAATTATATTTTTTTTGCGAACGCTGGAACATCTGCTCTTCTAAATTAAAATCGGCTTCTAGTGGTTGGTTTGAATTCTGACTAAAAAAACGAACTGGTTTGCCCATTTTCCAACATTTTTATGTTTTGTGTGTGTGTTTTTTTGTATTTTTTGTAAGCAGTGTGGTGTCAATTTTAGGAAAATAAACATTACTAACTAGGCCAACTGGAATCCATTTGAAACACTTTTAAACCGCTTATGTGTTTATCAACTTACCGTATTTAACTTATACGTAACTAAAAAATGTACTTTTATTCCACAAAACTCTATTTCGGTTTGGTATTCATAATAAGTTTTATTTTGGCTCACACACAATTGGCAAACGAATCCACAAAATATTTAATCTTTGGCTAGGTCTTATGGCTTACATTTTACACCGCACACTAGACGAAATACATTTTATTTAATTGGTTATAAACTATTTTTGTAAAATATATATTTTTTGTTTTTGCTTTAGCAACGGTCGTTTGCCTTTGTATTGTGGCAAAATGGTTATGCTTACTGTTACGTAAAAATTTTATCGTTTAGCCCTGGAAATTTAAACGTGAAAATGTTTGTTTTGGCTTTGGACTATTAAAAAAGATTACGTTTCATATAAAAGTTTCAAATGCTTTTGTTAAGCTCTTTCATATTGTTATTTAGTGTTTAATGCGTTTGAGGATTTACTCGAGATTTTAGATGAAAATCGTATTTATGTAGTTTGGTTGAAAAATTTGTATAGGGATATTAAATGAAGGAAGAATTCTCTCTTGCAGAGTAAATCAATAAATATTTATTTTTTATTTGGCAACTTTCTGATTATATCTTCAAGATTTGGCAACAAAATCTGATTTAAGTTGCAAGGCATAAGCACTGCAGGAAGATTCCCAATTCGATTTCAAATATTCACTAAATCAATGTCTAATTTAAATTTCTCATGAAGAGGAAGGTTGAGCAAAGCTTTAGATTGGCGTCATTTTGGGGAGCCAGGGCCAGCTAACCGTTGAATTTCTTTAACCGCTATGAGGATTTTTTTTACATATAAAATAAGTATTCCTATAAGTTCTCCATTAATATCTTTCAAATCGAGGCCGAAAAGAAACTCTTACTAAACTTAACCGTAACATTGTTTTAGGTTATATTAACGCGCTGAACTTAAAAGTTAACCCAATATAACTTAGACCGAGCAAATCAGACAGATAAGTGTCCCCGTGGACACGGCTTAAAGCTATACAAAGCACATGGGAGTTAAGGGCCTGGTTTCCGGTTCCGCTAGGTGCATCACCCGTCATCCTTCATCCGCCTGCAGATTCAGATTCATCCGAGGTTTGGCCGCACGAGACCCGTTAGGATGAGCAGTCCCAGCAGGAGAGTCGTGGGTTTGAGGATGCCCGAGGAGGCCCGAGGCTCCAGGGAGAGTGTCTTGTACTTCTCCACCCTGGTAAAGTCACTGAAGCCGGCCAGGTTCCGAGATGCTGCCCTCACCAGGTAGTTTGTATCTGGCTCTAAATTTGTCAGAAGGAATGTTGCTCCTGAAATGTAGGTATAGAAATAATAATAATGGAAATAAGAAAATATTTTTGTTTTTTCTTATATTTATATTTATTTGGAACAATTCACCTAACTGATTTTAACTATTACTTAGTTACATCGTACTACAACTCACCCTCTTCGAAGGGATAGTCCTTCCGCCTGGCATTGGTCCACTTGCCCACCTCCGACTTGAACTCCATTTCGGTCATGTACTCGATGCGGAAGCCATTGACCCCCATGGGACTGTCGAGGGGACCTCGCGGGGCACTGAGAACCACGTCGAAGGTGTTCGAATTGAAGCCACGCAGCTGGAAGTTGGTGGGAGCCGGGGGCTTGTCGCCCTGCTCCAATCGCGTGGTCCTCTCGATGACGCCCAGGTCGTTCTTGGCTCGACACCTGTAATTATCGAAGGCGCTGGTGTTCAGCACGTGGATGGTGAGGCGGGACCAGTAGCTGTCCGTCTCGATGGTGTAGCTCCTGTTGTTGCTGTACAGCTTGTTATGTTTGCGGTACCAGGTGAAATTGGCGGGCGGTTCCGCCTGAGCTTCGCACACGAGGGTGGCGGTGCCATTAATGTAGGCGTACTTAAGGCTCACAAAGGGCGTCTTGGACCAAATGGGCTTGTCTGTACAGGGAAAAAACAGTGAGTTAACTAAAAAATATTCCTATAAATATAAGCCTAAGTATTAAAAAATATTAGGCAACTAATAAAGTTTTATTCTAATTTAAACATCAAATTAAAAATTCCCAAGTTGCAACACAGAAATCCTCAACTGACAGCTCAAAGTGCGGCGCTCAAAGGTATGCCATGGAAATGGAAAAACCATGTCCGCTAACCATAAATCAGTCCACGACCAAGTTAGGCCATTAGCTGCATGTGTGCCACGCCCACTGGCCAAACATCAGGAACACCGGCCGACATCGGGATCCAGATCCATCAAAAGCGGTCCTTGTGCCGCGAATGTAATTCCAACATTTTTCGTGCTCAAAAACTATTTACCGCTCAGTGCGTCGCATACTAAGCACAAACTCAAAATTTAGGGCCCCCTCACAGAAAGAAAAAAACAAAACGGTGCTCAAGTAATTTCGACAGGTCATTCCATATTGCACACTGGGACTAGGTAAGACCAAAAATGTTTACCTGATGCAACTTTAATTTGATTTGATTTTTAAAATGTAATTACGCAGGTTTCTAAACTAAAATTTTGAAAGTAAAAAAATTATTTTAAGAAAGTTAATATAACTTTAAAATAAAATTGTTTGGTAAATGAAATGAAATATTTTAAGCACTGAACACCGGACTAATATTTGTACGAAAACTATAAAAATCTTAAATAAAATATTTTTTAACACCTGTAAAAAGAATTACATTTTTAAGAAATATTTTTCCCAGGAATTAAACTTTATACTAATTTAGTCATTATTTTGGTACAAATTTCGTACAATATCCGGCATTTCCTAAATTATTTTCTTAGTATCCCTGACCCAGTGTTTATTTTTTTTTTTGGAAATCATAAATCACACTCACGTTCGATTTTCATCAAAACTGTGCGCTCCTGCATATCGGAAGCAATCGAGTTGACTTGGTATGCCCGGCACGCGTACTCGCCGGTGTCATTCTGTGTTACCTTGTTGATGAGCAAACCATCGGCCAGGATGCGGAACTTGGAGTCGTCGGCCGCTGCACATGGAATGGAGTGGAGAAGGGTAGATGGCCATGTAGTTTGGTTTTTGGGTTCGAGGACCGGAATGCAAAATGCTCATTATCGACGGGGCTCTTACCGCCGGCACTGATGGGCTGTCCGTTGAAGTGCCAGGTGACATTCGGCTGGGGCTCGCCCTTCACCTCGCACAGGATGGTCGCCTTCTCGCCCTCCTTGACGGTCATCACGGTGGCATTTTCCGTGAATGTAATTTTCTCTGGGCGTTCGTGTGTGCGTGGGCGGGAAAACAATGCAATATTAATGACTGACCTACGTCCTTCGGCGATTCCAGCACTTACGGTACACAATCAAATCGAAGGATTTACTATGCAGACTTCCATCAGCAGCTTCGCAGGACCAATTGCCCTTGTCGGCCAATGCGATGTGGGCGAAAACGATTTTCAATTGTTCTGCGCAAGGAAAATAAACAAGCGAACGCGACGGAGAGTGAAAAGAAATGGAAAATGGGAAATTGAGTAAGGAATACATAGAAAAAGGTTAAACGGGGTGTGCAAAACAAAGCGTTGATACCCTACAAGTTCTGTTCAGGGTAGGTATATATGTGTAGTCAATTCTAAAAAGGCTGGCCTAATTGAATTTCTTTATTTCTTTATACCAAATGATTACTTATGAGGCCTCCCAAAATTATTTAAATTGACTTTCAATGACTTTTAAAATAGGGTTTTCGATTTCAACAATTAAATAAAAAATGTTCTTAGATAAAAGTTATTTAAATTTTAATTAAAGTTCTGTCCAAATTATTCCATTTAGGTTGACATTACTGGGTATTCAGCTACAAAAGAATGTGGATGGGGAATTGCAATTAATTGCGTTTGTTGTGCCAGTGGCCTTGTATACATTCGACCACTACCCCCTGACCCCTGACCTCCTGCCCCAACTAACCACTCCCCTGCAGTCTTTTTTTCTGTTTTATCTAGCTCATCCCCATTCCCATCCCCATCCCAATTCGATCCTTACCTGCCGATGTTTGCTCAATGTGAATGCGTCCTTTGTGCTCGCGTATAATTTCGCCTTTTGGCGATTTCCAGTGCAGCTGCACTTTGGGATCCGGACTGCGGCACTGGACGATGAGCGATTCGTTGGTATATCGCACCACGCTGTGCTCCGCCGGACTGAGGGTGAGGCTCTCGTGGTGATTGGCCCACGAGACAGCTGCAATGGCAAACAGATGGGTAGGGATATATGTATTATGCGATATAATGGCGCGTTAATTGGCTTCGCTGCTGCAAATGTCAACTGAAAAGTTAAGGAGAAGTTACTCTGCATTTGCATAACAAGGCAAGCTGCTCGGTGCATTTTATTTACTTAACCACTGTAATGGTAATACTTAAGAAACTTTGTAAAAATATAGTAGTAGGGAAATGTTTAATGCCTAACCACTTTAAGAGAAGGGAATTAAATGCGAAAAAGTGACATTGAATATTATACATTGATTTAAATTAATTTTTATCGATTTAAAAGAATTAAAAAGGTATTTATTTATTTGGAATATTCTGGAAAATCCCGTAATAAGTGGAGTTTTAGCTCAATTCCTTTACAAAATGATACAACTGTGCTAAACTTTTTAAATATTAAACCCACCACAAAGGTAAACCGTTAAATATACAACTGCACATGTCCGTGACACTCGACCACTAATTGTGAAATATTGTTCTTACAATTTTCCAAAGACTTGCCTAAGAAACAGAACTGTTTGTGAGAGGGCTTATATTTTATTTGGCATAAATCAGTTGGCACGCAATTTATGTGGGCAATTTTTATTTGCGAACCGGCTGCTAACATACAGCAAACTGCACTCAACGGAGCGAAATCGTTGCCGCAACTCAGACTTTCACTTCTTGTTTGCGCCTTTGCAAAATGTTCATTGAAATTTATCACAAGAAATTGCAATTTCATTTCGCCAATTCGTGTCAATCTGCAGAGGAAGGAGGCAAGGAGCCGGCAGGAAAACTTGAGGCAGGATGAGGCTGGCAGGTCCAAAAACTTGAGCCAGAACCGGATGGGGATGCAGATGCCTCTGCAGCCCTTTGGGTATTCGGGCAATGTATAGATGCAAAAATTTCTTGCATACTTTTTAATAAAGTTTGTTTCCCAGCCCAAAGTGGCAAAGATGGAATAAAAACAAAAACTACGAAACATTATGGGGTGTGGTATGGGCCACATGATTGCATCGTTCATTTCGTTGGCAAAAACTTTTGCGTTGCCTTTTTCTGCTTGTGCAAATTTTATTGGCAGCAGTACGGACATATTGAAATTATACAGCTACATAATGAAATACTCGCATATATACGTATTACGTATTGGGGTGGACCGCAAAATGGAGCCATGTACAAGGATCCGCCGTCAGGAGCAAGTCAAGCGTCATCTCGGTGGAACATTATTAACAATGCATCTAGGGCAAAGATGTTCGCAATTAGGTTTCGGCAGTGAAAACTTTGCTGGCATTAATTAGCCTCGTTCAACTTTGAATTTAAATGATTTAAAATGTGGGCAAATAAATTCTAGCTCGGCTCTTTTAATTGGAATTTTTAATTGAAAGTAGTAGTAGTGTTTGATTTTACATTTTACTTGATAAGAAAACCTTTTAGGAGGAATCCACTGATATTTTTATGAAATTTTAAAATTTGGTATGATAAAATTAAGTCATTTTCCATTAAAGCCCTTTCTTTACAAACTTACACCTTTGTTCTCTGTTCAGAACTTTCTGATATCTTAACGAATCAATGCTGACATCAACCAGAGTTGCCAAACAATGGGCGATATTACTTTTTATCGCGCTCTTGGCACAACTTACACGCCCCCCATATCCGCCCATATATGTGTGCTATATAGTTATGGGAGCGAACAAATATTTGCATTGTTTGCCCTCACCTGCAGACGCCAACGTCACTGTCTCTCTTACGTCTGTCTGTTAAAAAAGCGAGCGTTGACTGTTTGTCGGAATAAGAGGATGGCTATGTGACTTGTTACACTGAAAATAAAGTCCAGCAAATTGGGCCATCAAATGTATGCTTTCAATGCAACTTACGCCTACGAATACCATGTTCTTTTTCAAATAATGTTTAAAGCCAATAATTATTTATTAGAAAAATTTAGATTGTATTAAATTTTGTATACATATTAGTGACATGATCCAAGGAACTTTTAAAAATAGTCCCTTCATATTTTTAGAATATAAAAAATTTTGTCAACCTTATGATCGGTTTAAAAATCTGTTAGAAAGGTGAGAACTGAAAAGAAATGTGGTATTCATTTATTTTCCCGTGTAAACCCTTATAGAAAAAATAATCTGTCAATATTAAGATCATATTGAAAATCAGTTAAAAAGGTGAAAGGAAATGTGGTATTCAAAAATAATGAATACATTATATTTTCCCGTGTACATCCCGGGGCTCCTGTTGCCGCTCCCTGTCACCGTTGGTGATATCTTGGCCAGCAGGGCGAGCGTTGTCATAAAATTTCATGTGCCAACCAAAGTCGCAGCACATGCGAGAGCTTAATGACGGCGTCACGAAAAAATAAAACAAATATGTGGGTAGCAGAGGGTAGCAAAAGTAAATGTAAAGCAGTGCCAAGTGCGAGAAAAACAAACGGTTAGTGGTAAATCGGAAATGGCATTCCCGCAAGAGCGAAATGAAATTATCTGACTGGCTGTTGGCATTGTTCGGCGGCCTTTATAAATGCATTATGCCGTGCACTCGTGTGCACTGTGAGTGGGAATAAAAAGGGGAAAAAAAGCGGAGGAAAAACTGCAGCTGGCGGTGGGTGGGTGCTGCACAGTGGGCGGAGTTGAAATGGAGCTGTTGAGCGGTAACACGTGCGAGCTGCCAAAAAATGCAACCAAGCATGCAGCGCGTGGGCGACGTCCTTTGAACTGACGTACAATGCCAACTGGTCCTGTCAGGAGTGCGAGCGAGTGGCTGTGTGCGTGTGGGATATGGCAAAGTGTTAACCTGGAAATTCCGTTAAATGAAATGCATTATTCAGCTGCATTTTTGCGGCCACAATATCCCCATTCGTCGCTTACAAAGACCTGCTGATTTTGGCCTTTGCTCATTTTTATTGTTAAATAATTATTTAATTAATAAACCAAACCGAATTCTTAATATTTTAGCTAGTGCAATACTAAATGTTTATGTGAGCGGAACGGAACGGAACGGATTTTTTATATTTTTTTTTGCGAAAGCATTTCAAATATGTATATTAGGCTCATAAGAATTTTTAATAACTCATAAACAAATAATAAACCGATTTCATATTTTTCAGCCACCATAAAAAATGAAGCTGTTCTAAAAACTTGTCACTTTATTGGGCATTTATTGCTGCTTAAGTATTCTATTCAACTTGAAATTGCAGGCATTTATTCATTTGTTTTAAATTATTCATCCGGAATTTTAATGAAATTTCCCATCCTTTTTTTAAGGCGGGGTTGCAATTCAATTTCCATTAGCTCGACGAAAAACTTTTTAATTATTTTCCAATGCTTAATGGGGGGACTGAGTCCTCGGCTCCAGAATTTTATTTGCCTCGAAATGCTGCAAGTTTTCCTCTTTGTGCGACATTTTTGTTTTGCATTTACTCTGGCAAAAAAGTTTGTTATTATTTTTTGATTTCTTTTTTTTCTGTTTTTTTTTGCTCTGCATTTGCTTTGGCCCAGTACGCACGCATGCTCGCAACTTCAATGGAAAAGTTTTAATTTTGTAGCTGTAATGGGAAAAGGGGAACAGCCAGTGAAAAGTCCTGGGCTCCATTCAATGTGTTATAATGTCAGCATAAACGCATATGAAGCGCACTTAACCTGAATTATGCGCGGCTTTCCCCATCGCAGGCCTAAAGGAAAATCCGGAAAAAAAGCAGGCAAATAATTGCAGCATTTGTTCGAGCTTAACCCATTTCTGTCGGGACTTTTTTGCCTGATGCGTTACGTGGCCAGAAAGTTGGCGATGGTTAACTTTTTATCAAAAGCCAGACACAGAAAGTAACTTCTTAACCACCGGGGCAATAACCTGGTGGCCATTATTCCTTTTTCCCGAATATCCTGGCCAGGAATTTAATTCCAATGGCACACAGGGCACGTAATGCCAAAACATACATAAATCATCAGCGCGTCTCCGCACAAGAATATATTTCCGCTGCAGAATGGACGTTTCCGCATTTCGGGCAACTGAAGGAGCCACGTCTTGGCCATGGCCAGCAGGAAAACAGGAAGTCAGGTTGGCTTTTTCGGTTTCGGCTTCTTCCCAGCTGCAGTTTCAGTTTCTGGCGGAAGTGCAGGTAGCAAAACTTGCTCCAGTTGTTGGTGCTTCACCTTGAAGATGCCTTTTTAATAGTTTTCCAGCTGACACTTGGCCACGCTCTCTTGTTTCAGTTTGGCAATTAATTTTTTTCCTGCTGCCCCCCTGAAACCAGTTCATAAATTCTCCATTATGTGAGTGGGCGCCGGAAAATACATTTATGTGTTTTTAAATGCCTGCCAGCTTATAATTCTCCCAGCTCGGCAGCTCTCAGCTCTTCGGCTGGCCTTTGAGGAAGCTGGCGCATATAAATTTGCAACTGTCGGGCGATAAGAACTCAGAGTCCACGGATGTGGCTCTAGTTGGTCCACTGGTCCTGGTCCACTATGCCAATGCCAGGCAGGACACTCTTGCCCATGATTCGCCTTTCAACTCATTCATCAGCATGGTGCGCCTTTGACTTTTGAAACAAAAGTTTGACAAACTTTACTTTCCACTTGGAAGGTGGAACACGAAGCCAGTTTAAAATGACGCTGTTGCGAAACTCCATAAAAGTTAGAGCTACTTAAATATTTTAAACATTTTATAGATAAATCTGCGAACAGTGGCTCACTGTCAGTTGCGATTGGGATTTGTGTCAGCTAAGTATAAAATATTCTCATTCTAAGAGGAAATTCATTTAAAGGAATAAATGAAGACAGTTTCAAGGATTTAGGTAAAAATAAACTTGAAGCTCCTTTGTCTTATTTCTTTTGTCTCCTAGCAGATACATAAATAAATCAAATCTATGATTTTCAGAAAGAATACAAGAACAAGAACTCATAGCAAGTTGATAATTTATGTCATTATTCATGGACTCATATCTAAACAGTCATCAGAGAGAAACATTTTCATTTCTTTGTCATTTCACTCCACTGT